GCCCCGCCCCGGCGAGCCCGGTCGCGAGTGCACCCCCCCGCGCGCGCGTTACGCGCGCGCGCCGCGCGCATGTAACGCGCGCGCCTTATTTCGCGCGTAACGCGCGCGCGCGTTACGCGTTATAACGCGCGCGCGTAACGCGCGCGCGCGCGTAACCCGCGCGCGTAACGCGCGCGCGCGCGTTACAGTTTTTACACTTTAAAAAGATGAAAAAGTATAGCTTAATAATATATTTATAGACACTCCACCTTATTAGCCACTAATCTCTACCACCTAGCGATAAAAGCACAGAAGTATTAGAGTCGCACCCCCACCCCTAAAGCTAAACCCGACAAATATTGCGTCATCAAATTCATTCACTCAGTCCTTCTAGTAAATGTAAAGAGTATTCTGAGAAGCAGTTCGCCCCTGTCCATCCGCATGGAAATGGCAAGAAGTGAAGACCGCCGCGATATGGTCCTAATATTACAGAGTAGTTTATAGCACGCATGGCGCATGGAGTAGCATGGAGCGCAGAGCTTTAAGGGGCACAAGAAGCTCCAACTTTAGCTCCATGCTACTCCATGTGATCCATGCACTCCATGCCATCCGAGCTGTGAAACCTTATAAGTTGCTCTGTCATAATAAGTAGAGTGAGCATAAAAAACCAAAACTCGACAAGCTATACCATTACAAGCTATTACCACTATGGCGTAATCGAATAGAAATGGACCGCAGCAACCTAGTACCAGCGTCGTTATTATGAGCGAGCATCAACCACGTGCTGATGCACTACAGGATGGGCGTATAGATATAATGACGGCAACTCTGCCAGGCATTTTCGAGAGGTGAGCCCAGGCGCTTCCTCTACGTGGGAGGTCGCTGCTCGCGAGAGGCTGCTTTCCACCTCGCTGAAAGTCATCTTGTTTCCGTTCTGAGTGAGACTGAGTGAACTAGTGCTATTCTATTCACCAGCGTCAGCGAGGAGGAGGACGGCGATATTTGCATTGCCACACATCGGCTAGCAAATTGCGAGAGCAGAAAACGCGGCCAAAAAAGTGTCAAGAGAGGAAAACGAAAGCGCGGCATCATGTTGCTGTTGACACAGGAGCTACCCTTACATTAGTGCGCCTGTCTTTCTTCTATTCTGTTGTATCTTATCCTTATCTTATCTTCTACCGAAACAAGACGCGTAGAGGTGAGGGTGAATGCCCCATGACGCGCCTTTTCTCGCACTTCTCTCTGAAATATAAGCTTACTTCTATTTATATTTATAGGCAGCTCAACCACAAGAAAAAACACTCAAGTGAGTGTACGTGTAGTTGATATAGAAGAGTACTTAACTCAAAAATGGTCGTCCTTCAAAGCACCACGCGCCCACTGCAGCTGACCAGTGGGCATCCTCTGAAAACGAAGCCTATCTATGTTTAAGGCCGTGAGAACGTAGGATCAGAGCTAGTGCATACTAGATCATTGATGAGTGAGTACTCTGTACGAATCAGGTCCTTCATCCCTTCACCCTCAAAGTGATATGTGCTCAGATCAATGTTGCACGACATAGTTGCACTTGTTGGAGGAACTACTACAGCGAATTCATCTTCATCTGGTTCTTATTTCGAATAACAAGGACTACAACACGGACAGCAAATGTCTTCTTCTTCTTCGTTCTTAGGCACATACCTCTTGTTAGGCACATTCATTCATTCATTTATTCTAATCTATGTCAAGGCGAGACGATTTGCTGGCTAAAGGGGTGAATGAGCGATTAATGGACGCGGCTGAGGTGGGCAACTATCGAGCTGTCGGACAATGTTTACATTATGCCTGATTTTCATGATGTTGTCATGGTGAGCTTTCCAGGCATAATTGATTCTCATCTTCTTGTTGGATCTAGTATTGATTCACGTAGTTGTAGGCAGGAGCTAAAAAAATGAATATATTATACCCTTGTTCGTGGAAATCATTACATCAACTTCTAACCACAAGAAGGCGCTGATGTGAATTTTGTAAACCATAAGGGCTCCTGCCCTCTCGCGGAAGCAGTGGTGAGTGGGTACTTTTTTCTTACTGCTGTTATAGTTGCAGAAGTTGTAGTACCATTGTCGTCGTGGTGACGTAGTCCTATTTTTACCAGCAGCGTAGTGGCAATTATACCTCCAAATGGTAGTTGTCCTCTTCATGCTGGTTCTTATGGTCGCTCTGTTAGAACACACCAGATAGTGTCTCTCGAACTTAGTTGAGGCTTTGCCTTTTCCCTGTCAGTGTTTGGGGTCGGGGTTCCCAATACTTTGGAAACTGTCAGTGTCTGATGATTGGAAACTGTCAGTGTTTGGGGTCGGGGTTCCCAATACTTTGGCCAAGTATGCCGGGGAGGCTTCTCCAAATAAGTACCTAATCTAGCTCAACCATTTTCTTCTTACTTACTCCTTCTAGTTGTGTCCTCTTCATGCTGGTTCTTATGGTCGCTCACCTCTATCTCTAACAATAAGTTACTTCTTGAGAACAAGAAGCACCTCATGTTCTTTATACAACCAGCAAGCAGCACGAGCACCTCTTCATCATTGACACACAAGAATTTTTGGTAGAAGTATAAATGCTTATGTACTTCGATGTTTCCGCCACAACAAGGCGCGATCTTTCACTGATATTTCTCCAGGAATTGTCCCAGCGTTGGCCTCCTGCTTCGGGCGGACGCGGACCCAAATATTGCGAATGCATGGGAGAGGAGGACGCCTTTGCATCGTGCTTGCTTTCACAAGTTTCGCGATATCGCTAGTCTGCTGCTTCTCTATGGCGCGAACCCATTTTCGAAAGACTCCGATGGCTCACAACCGGGTGACTTAGGCCTAACTACCTTCCTGGAACAACATATCACTGGAGAAGAATGCCTATACGAGGATGAGCATGGGCAAGATGCTGTGGAGGCGTTAAGGAAAGGATCAAGAAGATTAAAATTACATCCTTATATATTAAATCTTCAAACACATCCTCATCCAATTTTTGACATCTACTAAGTAGATTTTACTTCAAATTGTTATTGTCTGGATTTAATTCTTATTGAGTCTTGCTTTGTTTTTTAGCAGGAGCTGGAGCCCTATGCTTATATACATCAATATGTTTCGCGCCTCCTTGTAACACTCTCTCCTTGTAAGAATTGAAAGTAGAAGAAGAGGTGCTACCAGCAGTAGGAATCCAACCTTGGAGGTTGTTCTACCTGTCGTATAAATCTCCCTAGAAGTAGTCGTTGACGTACTTTTTCCATCATCATCATCATCATCATAAGCAAAACTCTAAATCTAGACGCAGATGTTATGGTCGTGGAGGGTGGAAATGAGCAACCTGCTGCGTCGGAGGAGAGACTTCTGCCAGCTGAGAACGCCGAAGCGGGAAAGGAAGACGCAAAGACAAAAAAGAGTACGAGCTCTTCTACTGGTAAAGCAGGTCGACAAGTTTTTATGCTGATGCTGGTGGGTGTGTGGAAAAGCTTAATTGCGTAGGAGCTACTGGTACAGAGTGTGAGTGACACCATCTTTTTTGAAATCATGTTGTTGTTACAACTGCGTTATTTAGTGTAGTACTGGGATCGAGCGAGTAAGAGGCCCTTCCTTGCTATCTTCATTTTCTAACCCGTCCGAAGAGAACAAGACAAAGTTAGCAGAATTTCGTGCAAATTGGGCACGCACACGGGAAGATAATGCTGCTAAGGCAGCGGAGGCGCAAGCGGCAAAAACAAAAGCAGATGAGGAAGCTCGAGCACTAGCTGAAAAAGAAAAAGCGGAACGAGCTGCCTGGCAAGAGAAAATCGCTGCTGAAAATATGACAATATGTAAGTAAAATACTGGTTCACGACAGTGCTGATATTCATTTCTTCAACAGCACGACCAGCACGACTACACTGTTTAAGTACTATATATTTATAGTATATTGTTCCTCCACCTATCCTTCATTCCACAAGCAGCAAAGGAGGCTGAGCAGCGTGCAAAAGCGGAGGAGCGGGAACGAGACCGCAAAGCGGAGTTAGAAGCTATGCGTCTAGCCGCGCACGAAGCAGATCCTGAAGGCGCGGCAGCAGAGGAGCAAATGCGTCTAGAGATGGAGAGAAGACAGCAGATCTGCGTGAAAGTGGGGAATTCTATGGAAATGGAATTGGAATTTATCAGATCCGATGTGGCTAAGAACGTGAAAAATATTTTTGGTGGTACATCACGATCATTGATTGAAGCAACTTCTTCTCCAACCTGAAGTTTGATTGCTATTAAGTGCACGCAGACGCACTTTTTCATCGAAGTGTTACAAGTAGAACAAGTTGCTTCTCTAATCCTTCCGGAGAAAGTTCCGTAAATGGCGTGTATCAGTGCGTTTTTTTCGATACGTACAGGGTGGAATACAGAGGTGTGGAGAACAAGAACTGCAATTTGTTTTGGTCATCCATTGCGAACGAATGGCGACTGTGCGTGAACGGCTATAAGGCAGGAAATACCCTCTACAGAAACCCAAAAGTCACCAAGACCAAGGAGGTACTGCTTTATGAGTACTATCGTGGTCTAGAGTACTTTGTTGTTCTGTTGACGTTTCCTTTTCTTCATCTTGCTCTGCTACGTGTTTTTCTTCCTCGTCCTGCTCTTCTTTTTCTTGTACATCTAGATCTACTTCTACATTTTTTTGTGTCTTCTTCGGTTCCCATCATTCACATTTTTGTTGTGCATCTACATTTTTTCGTTTCTAACGCTCATGTTGTACATCTACTAGATCTTCTAGTACATGTTTGTGCTGCTTACCTACCACGTGATCTTGCATCAACCAGTGGTTGACAACCATTTTCTGGTACAACTTCGTCCAGGTTCCTCTCATAGGTTGGTTGCCCTGGTTCGGCAAGACACCCTGCCCTAGCCTCGAGACTGCCGAACTCACTGCGTTGCAAAAGGAAGACAGTAGTACAACTTCATCTTCAACAACATCAGAACAACCACAAGCCGAGACAAGTTCATCAGTAGACAACGACAAGTACAAGGAGGCATCAGCTTTAGCTTCAGGAAAAGAGGTCAGCAAGAAGATCTCTTCATCTGATCATGCTGGAACAAGTAGGAAAGAATTTCTTGAGTGTCGTTCAATTCTGGATATTTGCGCTTCGACGGAAGTAGACGCCCTTACTGCAGAAACAGCTGGCGGGAAAATAAACGTGGTCACCGATGTCACTGACATAGTCCTCAAAAAACAATTAGAGCGGCTTCTAGCCTTCGAACAAGCACCAATCGACATTGGAGATCATGTTGAAGAATTGCTTGGTGCTGAAGATGGAGTAGAGCAAGAGGAGGATGGGAATGCAAGTACTAGTACCAGTGCGACCACTGCATGGGCAAAGATAGAAGAATGCAAGCAAGAAGGTAACGCGGCTTATGGCGCTGGAAAAATCCAAACTGCACTAGCTGCCTTCAGTCGGGCATTGGAAGCAGTTGGACGTGTTGCAGAAGGAATCGAAGGGACGAAATATGCAACAGACAAGAGATCAAAAGCTGTGATGATGCGAGTCAGCGGGATGTTGTCAGTGCTGCACTCGAATCGATCATTAGTATTTTTTTTGTTGCTGACTTCCTTCGTTCTTCTTATAAATTCATTTCTTTATCTAAGTACTATGTGTACAAATATTGCATGCATGCTACAGAACCCAATTTTTTTTTTGTTTTCCACCTCTTGAAGCGGCACATAGTAGTAACGAGACCCCGTTTTCAACAACTACCAACCAACCAGGTCTTGCTGAAAGTGATATCGGAGAAGCTCTATGACGATGCAGCGATTGTCGACGTCCTGTACGAACAGGTGAAGAGCGATAGTACCAAAGCTCTGCAAGCAGAAGGAGGGAAAGTGTTATGTTCAGATTCAGCTTCTAGAATCTACATCTACTTGTTTATCAAAGCGTGAAAAAACACAGTTACAGTCGACGTGGTTATCGTCCACCATCTCTCTAACCCCTGGCACTTCCTCTTCTTCCACGAAGACTACGAGCAAGATGAAGATGTTTTACCGTAGAGCTCTTGCTTGTCGCGGCCTTGGGCAGTTAGATTAAGGCTGGTTACCGCTGAAGAATCATCCTGCTCAGCGCCATCGATCCGTGGCGCTTTTTGTATTTGAAAAAGCAGCCTTTTCTTGAAGAAGAAGGCTCCAAGGATCTCTAAGTAGAGCAAGCACTAGAAGACATAACGCGTGTGGTCGAGTACTATGAAGTAGACTGCGGCTCAACCAATGCGGAGGCGGTTCAATTACGCGAAGCGATTCTGGAAGAAGTAAAAGCTGAGGACAGGAAATGGGGCACTAGTATTAAGGGCAGATTTGATGAAGTTGAAGATTCTAAGTACTGATTGTGTAGTTGAGTAGGTTGTACACCATGATCCATGATCCATGACCTGAGAATCGATCAATAATCCTGGAAGTAGGTACGTAGCAGGTGGAGTAGTTGGAGATCTCAACATAGGAAGTCAAGTTCGTGAAGATCGCATCACATCATATTATTATAATTAATACCTCGCCTACGACGTCTACTTACCTTATTTTCTATGTCTATCTTTCCTAGGTAGGTTGGCTCCACCACAAAAATTAATACCAAATCTAATGCTTAAGCCAAGAACCGTTACAACGCAGTAGCTAGCACTCGAGATAGGTCTAGACGGGAACCAGGACGAGTTGAAGGCAGTGCAAAACCCGAGAAAATGGTCGTCATGTCCTCGTCGAGTTCGAAGACAGGGGCTAAAGAAGAAAAATGGACCCGATCGCTTGTCGAGAAACGACTTCATCGTATAATTGTCTATTCTCCACCCTAGAAGACCTCAAGCGACTGTAACATTGTCGCCCTTTTTGTTTTTGTTCTTACGACCTGCTGTGAGTGTCGTCCTCATGATGAAGAACTTCCTTAGCATTTTTGATTTTGACGTCGAAGTTCAATTTGTATCTACTTCCTCCACGTCCTGACATCAAGAACATGTGACCTCTATGATACATTGAATCCTGCTCAGGTCCTCCTCTCCCTGGTCAGAGTGCCGCATTTTTCGCATCGTTTTGTCCTGCTGGGGAATTTGAGAAGCTCTATGGTGGAGGAGCGAAGTTGCCTGTGGAGGCTTTCGGAACTCTAGTGTGCGCACTGCTTGATGCGACGTCGTGTCCAGATATGTTGAGCATGAAGGAAGATTGTAAGAAATATCTCACAGTCGCAGAAAAAAGCGTGTCTGAGGTGGATTTAGCCATGTTGTCAGATAAAGAGATGAACAATTTGGAGAAGTTGAAGAAGAGCTTAGGCCTATGAGGACGATCGTAGGATCATCACGGCAGAAGCAGTGAATGAACCCATGTTTAAGATTATAGTTTTTCATCTAAGTTAGCAGTGTCTTATGTTGTTGCCATTCAGATGCTTTCCTTACGGTACCAAGAATCAGCACGGCAGAAGCAGTGAAGGAAGGGGAGCAGGTGGCTCGTAATCGTAAATAGGTTCTTGATTCAGTCACCAGCAGGTGTACTTTTCACGGTGGGTAAAAAGTAGGTAGAAGTTGTACAGACTCGGAAAAAGATGAAGTAGAGCAAGTATAGAAAATAATGCGAATGCAATTCAGATGTTATAGAAAAAGAAAGTGGGTATAATTTGCGATTGCGTGCGTTTGCTCTGTTTCATGCTTCGCGTGACCATGCTACGTACCTCTAGAAACCGATGAATTTTTTCATGGCAAGAACAACTATAACTCTAACTCTCTCTCAGTCTCAGCTGAAATGATTGCAGAGGACAAAAAGACTGCGACAGGAAAACAACTCTATCTAAATCATCAGCAAACAAAGAGGATTTGTTGATGGGATGCATGCCATTACTGATGTGCACTTGCAGTTGGCGTCGTGAAGCCGAGACCCTGTCCGCGCTACATTTCCTTTCGGAATTTCGGATTTTTTGACATCCAATTTTCGGAGAGAAAAAAGGCAGAAATAATCCCATGTTCCTCTTACACCCTCTCTCGAAAACTTTGAAAACTTTTCCTATCCAGTAAAGAAGTCAGCTGCTATGAAAAGGCTGAAAACATAATGAAACGGCAAATTGAAATTTGAACGTTATAATCAACAAGAACGGTTATAAATAAGGACGGGAAGATGCTGAGCAGGTGCTCTTCGGTTGTGAAACTATAACTGTAAGTGTATTATACATCTAAATATCAAGAGCACTACTTCATACGACTACTTTGCCGCGGCTGTTGCAGCAGACAAGAACCTGAAGAAGGGAGGAGAACAAGTCAGAAACAGACGATGTCAAGTTCCTCAGAAGCAGAAAATGCTCCTGCGCAAGCAGCCCAAGGAGAAGGAGCGCCACCTGGAGCACCAACAGCTCCAGCAGCGCCGCCGCCACCACCAGCACCAACATTCACCAAACTGAAGATGCCGCCAGAGAATTAGGGCTTTGATTTTTGGGAGTGTGAGGAGTCTCGAACTAGATTCATCTTCCATCAAAGTGAATGAAATCTACTACGCCTTGTTCTGCGAGGATGAACAGTTGGACTTTTAGGCACTCTTTTTGGTATAGTTTTTTGCTCCCAAACTCCGCAATAGGTCCGTCGTGTCTCTTCCTCTTCTACTAAGTAGAAGCTCGTCACGACAACAACATAAGCAAGTCTCTCCTAGCTTTTTACAGCAAGATTCATCTTCGAGGTTCTTCTAAGATCCATTCCTGCAAGTTAGAAGAGCAGCACAACGGATGTTGGAGAACTTTTATTGTGAGATTGACGCTCTGCAACTCGTCAAAATGTCACAATCCTACACCGAAAAACTCGACGAGAATGTCTTTGTTTTATGAACCTGGCTGTACGTGAGTTTTGTGAAGATATATGTCCTCTACTGTACTAGAAGATGTGGACAAGAAGATGAGTTTTGTCATTTACATTTCCCTCTAAAAATCTTCCTCTTCAACATTTCCCTCTAAAAATCTTCCTCACGTTATTTACAATGTCGTGCACAGAAGTTGTTCCGTTTTACTACTGGTGGTGTCAATTGTTCCCGATGGAGTAGTAGTTGGTGATATATTGGCGGGTAATATGAGGACCTAGTTCAATAAATTCCTCAGGAGACGAAGTTCTTGTTATCCCTTCCTCTTTCATCTTCCTCCCTGATCGTGCCTTATCTCCAAGGAGCGAACGAAGTTCTTATCCCTTCCTCTTTCATCTTCCTCCCTGATCGTGCCTTATCTCCAAGGAGCGAACGAAACCCTCAAGGTAGACGAAACGGCTTTTCCCAGCAGCACCGATAGGGATTATATCATCCGCTTTGCTGCACACATGCTCTTTCATGAAGCGGCGATACATGGCGACACGTTGGAATGGGACACCTTGCTCGAATTCATCATACATTGGTCAGATGGGCTGATAGAAAGGGGAGAGTATTGTTGTTTTTCTCATTCCACTTCCACTTCGCTTTTGTTTCGAGCGAGCTACTTGACACTAGGTTAGCAGAGTGTTGAACAGGTCAGCCACAGAAGGTTCATACATATTTATTAATCCGTTGAAATTATTGTTAGTCTTCATAGGCTTGATGGCTACTTTTACCTTGACTCACTCTCCAACAAGTTTCGCGAAATTCTTCTCGTCCTCAACGATGTGCTCCGAGAAGCCTTCGGCCATTGACGGAGCTTTCCGAAAAGCCTACACATTCAACATACCGCGATATGGGGGTCTTACTTTGTTATGAGGAGATGAAAGAAATAGGTTTATTAGGTTTAGGTAGGCGTTCGTAGGCGGAACGTGAGATGTTGGAGAGGAGGAAAGAAGTCAGCATCTTGTTTTGTGGACTTGAAAACGCAATCGCAATGAGTCAAGAGTTGTTGTTGTTGTTGCGTTGTTGATAAATGAATTGCTGATAGATGAACTAGTGCTGGTTCATCACAACTGTGATTTCAAGAGGCCAAGAAAATCTCATTTATCTAATACCAGTGCTGTTAGAGGGTGGCTTTGAGGAGTCAGTTGCGGGTGGACAGATCGTCCGCTTTCTGGACCCTATAACAGGCAATAGGAAGGGAATGCTGGAGGTAACATTCGACTTTCGTTTATTCTTATGAACATGAACAGTGTAGGTGTACGTATCTGTATCATCTGATCTTGGAGACGTTCTTTCATGTTTGCACTGATGTTCAGGCCTCACCAGTCGCCTTGATTTCCCCTTTCTTCGATTTCAACATCTAGTACTTCACACAACACAGGTCCCAGTCCCCCGTGCTCCAATATTAGTGCAAAAGGAGGATGATCCTGGCCCTATTCGAGAAGTGCTATCGGTTCAGTACATCCCAGGTTCAAATGTGTTTCTCACGTCGTCAAATACGAAGTTCATAACCGCTTGGGACCTAGATAACGGGCGGCCATTGAAGAAAATTGTTATACATTATGAATATGAGCTCTCATCATGGCTCTCCAAATTTGTGATAAAGATTATTATAAGCATAAGTCTGAGTCTCTTTATGTCTCCTACTCCTTCTTCTGTTTCTTTCCTAGTTCTAGGGCTCTACCACAAGTTCTAGAAGAAAGACAAAAGCAACCTGCTCTATCTTTCTCAGTACACGAGAAAGAAGAACTTCAGCTTTGGACATCATGATCCGAAAGGCATAATCTGCACATCTTCCTCCATTTTTGTGGTTCAACATCTAACTCCCAGACACGCAGAAGGACGGCCCCGATCGGAATACTGCGCCGATGACCTTCTCACACCTTTTCCTGGCAGAGGCTGAAGAGAGCTTGTTTCTAGCAGATATGGAGGGTGGCCGACTATATCGCTGGTATTTGTCGAAGGTGAGATGGCGAAGCTACAACGAAGACGAGTGGCGCTTCACAGTGAAAGACAATCCAGCCATCGTCCCACTTCCCAATTTAAGAGTAGGTTCTTAAAGGTGCTTTTCTTACCGCTTTTTATGCCTCTCTCATCCTAAGGGAGAGAGAAAGGCATAAAATAAAGCGGGGTAAGCGAGCACCAAAAAGAACCTACCTCTAACCAATGGCCATCAAAAACCAGTGCTCACGATTGTGGTACTATACTGCTTTGTTCCTGGTAGTAGTTATATAGTTAAACTCAGGTGGATGAGGTTAAAAGCTTACTATTCACTTCTTATTCTTCTCAACATCACCGCCAGTTCCTCGAATCCAAGCGTGTATTAGCAACTGGTGCTTTGTTCCTGGTTGTAGTTATTGAGGTTGAGGTTAAATAAAGCTTAGGGACGATGGGGAAGATCTACTAGATGAGAATGTTGAGACAGAGAGGAAGAACTAGAAATCTACCTCGTCGAGGTCGTTTAGGTCTTCGTTTATTACGCTTGTCCAAGAATCATGCAGTTGCACACTTCTTATTCTTCTCAACATCACCGCCAGTTCCTCGAATCCAAGCGTGTATTAGCAACTGGTGCCCTCGACGGATCCATCATCCTGTGGGATCTGATAAGCAATTGTCGAAAGCGAGAACTCTCCGGCCATGCGATGGGTGTGACCTCTTTAGCTTGGTCCGGGAAATATCTTTAAGGATTTATACTAAGAATTCTACGTCACTTGTTCCTTTTATATTCCATCTTGAGTCAAGAAGCCTACAGCTAGTACACCTTGAGAGATCTTCGTAGCATCCTGGAACGAAGGAAGAGTATTGATTTTCAGGGAACAACAAGGAAGACATCACTGGTACAACTACCCCGATTATAGCGTCACGATCAGTGGTACGAGGATCTTCAGGATTCTTCTTCATCTCAACAAGATAAACATTGCGAAGCCTAAGCTCTTCCTCTTCTTCTAATATCTGATATCTGCGGGATTCGACAGCCGCCTCATAGTGTGGGATCCACATGCGGGTAGCAGACTAGCACTCTTGTCTGAATCGAACTGCAGTATTCTGGACATTTGCTTGCTAGGAAATAACAACATTTATGGCAATGGAATCAGAGTGGTAGTGTAGTAAAATCCAGCCTCCTGTAGTTTGTACTTGTAACTTACTATCAGACGCTCCACACCAACTACACGTCCTCCATCGACGACAGCCATCTAATCGAAAACGGAAAGTAAGCGAGTAAGAAATAGAATAACCGAGTACTATCTGAGATCGTTATCTAGCTTACTCGCTTATTTCAGTTTATCGGGTACTAACTGTTTTCATCCCTCTCGGGTACTTCGTCATCATCTCCCCAGAAGGCACCGTCTAAGCCCCTCTCGCCGCTTTTGACGAGGACTGCAATGTCAAACTCTATGATCTGGCGATGTACAATCAAGTCCAGCTTTTCATCGCTGATGGAGTGGGAAAGGCAGCGGGAGTGCAGAAAGGAAACTCAGACTCATTGGGGAACATCAAGTGCATGTGCAAGATACACGAAAACAGAATCGCGTTTGTTATGATGGAGGCGGTTGTAGAAGTAGACGTAGACGTCGACGGTTGTACAACTTGTAGAAGGAGACCTAGACGTCCACGTAGAAGTAGAAGTAGACCTAGACGTCCACGAGAAGCTCCTGGAGTCTTTCAACAAAGGACCACAAGGACGAGTAGTCCTGAGTGATGGTTGTTACAGATGCAGAGAAGGAACACAAGCACAACACATCATGTAGATGTACAATAGCAATTGATCACCCTTTTTCTAACTTCTGTGGTAGCCGCGTTCTTTTTTGGGATAGCACTGCAGAGGACAGTACAGTGACGTCGGAGAATCCCATTACGTGCTTCCTCTACTGCCCCTATCCCTGGAACGAAATGATCGTGCCAGTAAAATCCGACCTCGTCGCATGGGACGTCTACAGTGGCTGCATCACGAGGACCATACGGAAAGTGACGCAAGGATACGTTTCAACCGTCAGTCGAGCAGAGAAGAGGTTGATAGTCGGCAGTGAGTTATGGTTCCTAGTCGCCTCTTTTTTCGCAGTTGAAGCTAGTCTAGTATGTAGTACGACGTAACGTGCAGAAGTAGAAATAAAAACATCAAAATTTATCGGTATCGAGAAAAAATTCGAAATTTGGAACTTCCCGACGGCGACACCTCCATCTTCATCCCTTCGACCTCCATCTTCCCCCCGCGCTTCGTCCCTCCTTCATCCCCCCGCGGGACCCTTCTTCATCCCTTCGTGGCGAGCTCCAAGTCTACTTACTCGGTTCCAGAGGATTGAAGCTTAAAACCTTGACGCCACATCAAACCGAAATAGTAGCGATCGAGAGTCTAGCAGAGGTCCAGCGCATCATCACGTTGTGTGCGTTCAAGGTGATCCAGATACACGACGACTCTGTGGACAAGAGGTCGCAGCTGTTGAAGAAAATCGAGGTTCCGACGTGTTCGTTTATAAGACTCGCGTCCACGGGACCAGCATTGATAGCAGCGCCAATAGCAGAGGGATATGTCGTGTTTTGGAATGTGGCGCCGGTACAGCAACTTCATTATATGCTGTGGAACAGTAAGTAGCAATACATGCTTACTGTTCTAATCAAGAACAACATGCTTCTCGTTCTCCTTTAGAGGCATGGCGACTATGTGCATAAGTAGAAGTAACAGTGATTTCTTACGGCAGGAGACCAGTGATTTCTTACGGCAGGAGCACTTGACCTATGCAGGTACCTGTGGTTTCTCTTCCTTGTGTAAAGCTTCGAGTCAAGGAAGAGGAACAAGAATACCACACCTCTGCTCACCAGGTGAAGCTCGAAGGCGGTGAGCCAAACGAAAAGCAGCTAGAGGACGATCCAGACAGGGCGCACAATAGCACTGTTGCCGCAGCCTTCTTTTTCGAGAAGACACAGCCGCTTTTGTTGACGATTGATACTTATGGCGGCTATTTAGAACAGCAGTAATTATAAGGTAAACAGTAAAGGACAAGACTCCTGAAAAACTCGAGATCATGGTAGCTCCACCGGTACTCTACCCTCTTTGTCTTCCGAAAAAAATTTTCGAACAAGTATTTCAATTTCTTGATTTCTGTCCATCTCCATCAATTCAATCTCTCTCAACCTCTAGCTCTAGCTCTAATTCTCCGAAGGCGTCCTCGTATTTTGGGGACGGAAACCTTTGCCACCCTACGCCGTCTATTGGAAGAGTTCACTGGAGAAGTTCTTCTCCCACGACGAGCAAGAACCGAGGATAAGTGGTTCGCATATTGCGACGACGAACTCTAGCTGCGGAGCTAGTAGTCATGGAGGCGAGGAGATACGGACGAGTGCGCAAGCGAGCAAACAGCCTCCAGGGGCAGGAGGTGGAGCGGCGGGAGCAGCAGGGGCAGTTCTTATGAGGTTTTTCAAAGAAGAGACGAGAGAGAGAGAGGAGCAGAGCCATTTTCAAAGTGAGGACGCCGAACTTCTTCCTAGAACAAGTAAATGCATTTAGTTAGATTTATCTAGAGGACGCCGAACTTCTTCCTAGAACAAGTAAATGCATTTAGTTAGATTTATCTAGAGGACGCCGAACTTCTTCCTAGAACAAGTAAATGCATTTAGTTAGATTTATCTAGAGGACGCCGAACTTCTTCCTAGAACAAGTAAATGCATTTAGTTAGATTTATCTACAGGACGCCGAACTTCTTTCTAGAACAAGTAAATGCAGTTCTAACTCCACCCCTGCCACGGAGAACAAGGACGCCATAGTTCCAGCTAGTGGAGCAAAAAAGAAGGAGGACGATGACGCTGAGGGTGAGGAGGGCAAGGAGCCAGAAGAGGAAGCACCGATGCCCAGTGCCTGGAAGGACGTGGGTATCGTAACTGCAGCAGCTCTAGATACAGGCACAGAAACAGCTCTTTTCGTCGCAACTGACAGTGGCTCTCTGTCACGGTGGTCACTGCTAGATGTGTTTCGGCATGTGGAGCGGTTTAGGAAGAACAGGGAAGCAGCGAAGAAAGTGGCAAAGCCAGGACTGTTTGCGGGTAGTCCTCAGAAGAAAACAGTGGCCCCAATCAGGGATCCAGAGCTGAGACAGGAGTGGTTCATGAGCCGGCCAATAGGAGGGCCGATAGAACTGATACATTATGGCTCGCACTGGTTCTTCTTGTGCGTTGTACAACTTCTAGGAGTCCGTAGTAGATGCAACTTCTACAGCATGATCAAACTCACGTTGTCAACGTAATCGCTAGAAGAGTGGCAGTATTGGAAAAACAGGATTTGGAAGTTCTCGTACACACGTCGAACAGGAAAAATCACACACGCCTTGGGCCCTCTACGTACTTACACTCTTCTAACCCACATACGGCAATCCGAATCTGCTCTTCGTATCCGGACCTCAGCAGATCGTCTACCTGTTCGACGCTGTTAGTGGAGAAATGCTTGGTAAACTCCAGAAAGACCTCCAGCACTGGGACTACCTGAGGAGTTTGAATACTAGCGAAGAGGAAAAGCCGAGCAACATGCTTGGAATAACTCAACTATCCTCCGCTTCTACAGTAGCTCCCACTACGTCTAGTTCGTTGACCCAGCACATCGTGCCCAATGCCAGCTTAGAAGGACTTTGCAAGACGGAAACGGACAAAATCAACGCTGCACTCAAAGCAGAATCCAAAACTCCCTATGCCGTACCAGAGACGACCAAGGAGATCTCCACGAAAGCTAGGGCTCTAGCAGATCCGGAGTTAATGACAGCCGCAGAAAAGCGAGAAACAGCACTAGAGGGTAGTTGGCGAGTAGAACTGCGGCAGAAGAAGTTCTTCCCAAAGAAAGTGCCGAGTATGTTGTCACCAGAAAGGATGCAGAGGAGTCAGGAACTGCTCGAACAGAGGAGGTTGAGGCGGTCAGGCATGTCACAGTACGAGATTAGCGAAATGTACGGGGGGACCTCAACAACGAGCTTCATGGGTGGTGCGTCGACACTGGTGTCTCCGGATGGAAAGTTTGGAAGCACAATGGGGGGAGCCTTATGAACGGTGGTTTCACAGACACAGAGTCTCATAGTCGTGCAGACTGAATAGTGCGTCATGTGCTAGTTTCCTTTCACTTTCTTCTACTTAGTTGATGAAGTAGAAGCAGTGTTACGAGATTACGTAGTTCACGTCCTCGAGAAAAGTTCTTGCTCCTCTTGCCCCTGCTCTAACAACCTCCACCTTCGGAGCTCCACCAGGAGTCCAACCTCTGACCTACAGTCCTCAAGGCGCGGCGGCGCATGACCTGAGCGCGTATCCACCGAACGATTGGAAGCCACCACTTTTGTCAGGCCTAAAACGTGGCAAGCGCTTCGATGACAATGTCTCAGCTAGCGCAGAAAAGCTGGCTGCGGCGTTTGACAAGATAGGCGACGCGAGGATGGCGGATACGTTTAGGAGAACGAAGTATTGAGAGTATTGAGCGTACTGGTACTCTGACTGGAACTAGATCTAGAAGAAGTATTCTCTCCTTCACTCAAATCGATGTTTTTTATCTCATTCTGACGCAATCAACACAATGCATGGCAGCTGCCTGATGTTTCTCAACGTACTAATTGTAATTTGACACGCTGGATGAGTACTGGAATTGAAGAAAAGGCTGAATCGCAAGCGCAACAAGGATAGATATAATAGTTATAAAGTGGTAACGCCGAACCGGATAGAAAGAATAACTCGACCAAGCTTTTGAACTTTTTTACTACTGTTCTTGTAGCTCATGAAGACTCAATAAGAAGACCAGGACAGAATTGCTTCATCTATTGAAAGATAGAGACCATGACAGACAACTACACAAAATGACTGATATTCGAGATTACGACAGAAGTAAGTAAACACCTTAGAAAATAATGAACTCGGTCAAATCTTAGATAGAGCACCAGATAGTTTTTTTCAAGAAGCGGATGAACATGAAGATGAACGCACAACGAAGGAAAGAAATTCCACTGAATCCCCACTGCGAGTTGACGGTGGAAGACGATGTAGTTTGAGAGAAAATTTAGCACGAGATTTGACGCTTTGGTGAGGGTAGAAAGGAGATGCTCGTACGTGTTTATTTCGCAAATTTAGTCATCTGCAAAACGGATTCAAAACTATACTCGCCGAAAAAGAGCTAGAGCAGCCCTCCCCGTGGTCCCCGTCATTTCCTTACAGTCTCGTCTGACCGATGAAAAATTGGTATGCAAGCATGCAAAAGTGTGAGAAGGCGTCAAAAGGTGTACAAGTACAACGATTTGAAAGCTACGAAGAAGAACAAGAATAGTACAGTACCCAAAACGACCATTGATTGACAACCAACATATCCTTATCCAGAAAGAATCCCGATCTTGATCTTCAATATTATGACGTGGTCATCCTAGGAGTATGATCTTCAGTAACATTAAATCCAAATGTTGACGAAACCCCGCGCCGCTAGAATGCCTCGTTGTAGGCGGAGGCCGCTTTTGACTGTGGCTGCAGCGTCGCAAACGCTGCTGCTTGAGGAGTCATGGCGAGGTGTGTTGGGAAGGAAAACACATCGAGAACAAGGTGGATCGCAAGGACCAACTTCGACGCTTAGTGCGGTAGATGTGACGACTGGCACAGAGCAGCAGGCAGTGAATGGTCCAGCACCTGCGGAAGCTGTTCCTCAGCAGGCGAGTGGTAGTGATCAAGTAGCAATGACGCAGGAGCCAGCCCCAGCAGCTCCAGATCCAGTATCTCCTTCTGAGCAGGTCCAGATATCATTCTGCATTTTTTAGATCAGTACTGTCGACTACGACTACGAGCAAAGGGAAGAGAGGTTCACATCAAAAAAATCGATTTCGACAGTCATCTAGGTTAAAATCTACTCCATTTGAACGAATTTGATTATTAATTCCTTCATCATGAAATCCAGGCTACGTCACAAGATGCTCCGCCAGCGGATCGACCGTCATCCACACCTGGTTCGTCGGTGCCGGTGCCCTCGGGTGAGCAAGATGCAACGCAACAACTGCTGGCCGGAGGGTCTACAGAGGGCTATCCCGGTGCAGCTATGCCAAGTGCGTCACAGGCGCCTGATGTGCCGCTTCGCGGGGCAATCGACATATCAGAACCAGAAACCAAAAAAGTAGCACCAGTTGATGTTTCAGCATCTCAAGCTGAAGGAACTGCCGCTGTCAGCAACGATGAAAGTGAACCAACGGGGGCGGGGCTGAACGATATCGTTCAGCCTGTCGCTATTCCTAACTTCCAAGAAGGCGACATGGACACCAGCGGAATGAACCCTGGGGGACAAAGACAGAAGCCCTCCGTGCAGGAACAACCGGATGCTATGGATCAGCCCTCCGTGCAGGAACAACCGGATGCTATGGATCAGCCCTCCGTGCAGGAACAACCGGATGCTATGGATCAATCTTCCAGCGAATCCACTACCACGTCGAACAATGAAGAGGCCACCGATGCGGAGAGTGCAAAGACTAGTGACACAAGCAACATAGCAGCAACCACAGGAGCGCCCGATCAACCACAAGTAGCTCCAACTAGCGAGGCGAGTACCCAAATGACAAACACACCTTTTGCTGAATCATCATCGTCACGACAAGCCGAAATAGTAGCGGCACCAACGACAACAGCCGCATCGTCGTCGTCTGACGGTACCAGACCCGGACTACATCATGAGCAAGACGAGGGAGGAGAACAAGATCCAACATCAGGCGAGGGCGGACGTGAAGGCGCAGGACCAAGAGCTAGCGAGATCGAACACGACAAAGACACTCGTTTAATTCCAGAAGACCAAGGTCACTCGGAGGTGGGAGCGCAAGGAACAAAATCACAACAGCAGCCTCCCATACAGTCTCCAGCACTTGCAGCATCCATAACTACGAATGTAGCAGTAGAGCAACCACCCCAAGCGGATGCTGACACAATAACAAATGGCAATCCTGCAGCAACAACAAGTGCATCCGGAGCCAGCGCACCTGCGCCGGCGCAGCCTCCAACTACAGCAACTACACAAACTTCTAGTGGTCCTAGTACGACAGCGACTCGGATAGAACAGCATCAGCAGCCGGGACAAGATACAGATGCAACATCAACAAGGACCATGTCATCTCGCGACAATAGTGCTGACTACACGGCTAACGGCGCTCTAGAGCCAGGAGAGGTGGACATTGCGAGTGCCACAACAAGCAGTGCTCCTGGTGTCCCGAAATCAGCAACAAGTCCAGGAGCTGCCTCAGCAAGCATGAAGCAAGTAGATGAAACAGTGTCGAGTGGAGTGGTGGAACAGGAGAAGGACGAGCAGGTACAAGTTACAATTTCTCTGAATGAGAAGATTCTGATTTCTTGTTTTTCTAGTAGATAGTTTTAGTTTGGACGTGAAGACTCATCGAAATTCCGAATCCAGTATTGTCGCATCTTCAATTTCAAATGATCCATTTCCACCTCTCACCTCCTTGTTTACTCACCACATTCTGGCACGGCCGCGTCTTCAGGCTGTAAGACGTAAGAAACCACGCATGCTGCGTTCAGAGCACGTGAGGGAGAAGGAAGCGAGCTCTTTTTTCGAGAAATCGGGTGAAGGCGACAAAGCGGGTGAAAAGAAAGGCGACGAAGCGGCAGCGGCAGAGGGTGCTGGAGGTGAAGGAGCAAAAGATTAAGAATCCGTCGTGTGATTATAGTCTCCGTACTAGTTTGGGAAGTTCAAGAAGCTGTAGAGGTTGAAGCTGTAGTGGATCCCTCCTACTAGTGTGCACAGTCATGCATTAGCACCTTTCTCTAACAAAGAGGCGCACCCGCAGCAGGGGAGAATAAAGATGGCGAGAAAAAAGCTGAGGAAGATGCACCAAAGGCTGAGGGCGACGGCGAGAAAAAAGCTGAAGGGGACGCGAACAAGAAAGGTACTTGGTCGCACTTAAATTTAAATATAAATGCTTCAAGGATACTTGTTGATAGTTGCCCTTTTCTCTTTTATATCTTCCTCTGTCTGGTCTGTCTTTTTTCTAGTTAGGTCGGCTCCACCACAAATATAAATGTTTCATGATAAAAGATCAATATCAGGTTCTTCCTTACGACCTCCCCGTCTTCTAGTTTTATCAATATCTTCTTCTCGTTGCTTGTTCTCCTTCTGCAAGCAATCATCTATTGACTCACAGTCTCATTTCTACTTATAACAAAATAACAGACGAAGAACAAGTCGCTTCCTGGTTCATCCAACAATCTCAAAAAAACACAGACGAAGAAGAAGGCGTTTCTTGGTTCTGGGTGGGATTCGCTGTCGCTGTAGTGGTTTTGGTGCTCCTAGGTACTTTTGCGGCGTTGAGCACTCCTACGGGAACGCTCGAAACAGAAAGCGCACCAATCGACGAGGAGGATTAAGAAGATCTTTAGTGAGTTAGGTGTAGGATGGGGATTGCGATTGGTGGAGAAGGAGAGGGCTGCAGTGTAGCAATAGGAGTAGAGGTCGAAGAGTAAGAAATTGCGTAATTGGTGCGCTAGGTCTCGGAGGGGAAGAAGAACGCAAAAAACGGCGTTTAATGACGTTGACACATACTTATGTCAGGCCATCTAGCAATCTAGCTTAACTAAAATTCCAAGAAATGAGCCACACAGAATTGAAAACGAAGTCGTGACTATGCAGCAAGACCAAGATCAACATGCTAGCCTCGTCTACTAATTTCAAACTGCATCGAGAATAACGAGCAGCACTATGTTTTGCACAGCTTCGTCTCATGTTGATAATGACCCAGAAAATGATAATGAATGAGGGCGCCGCTTCATCATTTAGATTTTTGCCCACGAAAACTAACGACTAAGCAAATGCGTCCTGTACTGTGCGTCGATCTAGAAGAGTCCAGAAATGAACGAATGTGAGAAAGTAAGAAGTTGTGGCCAAAAAAGAAGAAACAAAGCAACGAACAACGTACAACGCGAAAACGTGTATGAGTATACGACTTGCGTGCCAAGACCTGACGCTCCTGCTGTGCTTGTTGTGGGAGGTGTTCAGGAAAGAATAGAGCGTGGCGGCATAGTTAAGAATGATCAATCTAAGCCATGATGTGAAGAAAAGCGAAAATGAGGTGAAACTCAAAGGGCGGCCAGCCTCAGCAAGCTAGGTCGCCACTATGTGTTCACAGAGGCAGATAAGTTTGAAGGCACGACCTCCAAAGAGCGAACTTACTTCATGTACACGCCTCGTCTCCTATTCGCCTTCAGGCTGACACTTATGCGCTCCTGTCCGCGTTTTACCTCCATCTCTTTCTCTGTGTCAGTCTATTCTCAATCCTCACTTCTTCGCTCACTCGTCCCAACTTCGGAGACAGAGCCACTTGCTGAGAGCAGTCTGAATGTCTGTGGCTTTATTTCACGCTTAAGTTAACCGCTCTTCGGTGTCTCGTGACAGGCATCGACGTGCTATCTCTCTCCCCAGACATGCTATCTCTCTCTCCGTCTCTCTCTCTCGACAGACATGCTATCTCTCTCGCTCTGTCTCTTCCTCTCTGGGTTCTCCAGGCAGACCGGCGTCCTCTCACTCTTACGCCTCTCGCCGATAAGCGTCCTTCGCCTTTTCCGCTCTGAAGTCTCCCACCAGGTATTGGTGGCGTGTCGCGTTCCTCTTGCTCCCACTTGAGCCCGCTGAAGGTCCTGTGGTCCACCGCTTTAACTGGTAGCGGTGTATAAAGGTATTAAGGTTCTTGCCTAAAAACCTTCCTTCAGGTGGTGATGAAGGTAAACAAGATTTTGATCTTTTTGTTTTTGATTTGTTTATTTCTAAGAACGAGAAGTCTAAAACATGATGATGAACTACAAGTTCAAGTGCGACAACAGCCCACAGATGAAAAAGTCCTGCATGAGTTGTGCTGGTAGTTTCAGTCTCAGAATGTGCGAATGTGCTGACGTCCCGCTGTAGCGAGATCATGAAGAGGAAGAGGTAAGTACAACAGAGCTATGCGTCTTACCCTTGATGATGTTGCATCTGCATGGGGTTGTTGAGAAGGGTATTCAGTTTGAGGAGGACTCGTTCTCAATCTCATTCTTGTCAAGTTACTTTGGTCTAATTCTTTCTTATTTCACCAGCGACAGGGTCGGGGTTCTTGTCTTTCTGCACACGATTCGGATTTTCCACTTGTGGTCGTACTTCCCCGGCTTCTCGTCCTCGCTCCTCCTCGTCATTGTTCGAAGCCCCTATAACACTGGAAAGCAAAGCCGTGACTGTTCTGGCAGACGCCGAATTAGAGGAGCCAGTAGCTGTAGTGGCTGTAGTACTTGTTCTAGAAGTAGAGCTACTTTTTGAGTTGGAGCTTCCATTTGTAGTCCTACTACCCCCGCTCAACGTACTCCTAGTGTCCCCGGAAGCTGCCGAGGAAGGCTTGATTTGTTCCGTTATTGAGCCACTACCTCTACCACTTTGTTGAAGCTCCTTTTTACGCAGAAGTAGAGCAGTGTTTGCCGCGTCCGCAGAGGTTGCGCCACTTTCGAGACTGCTAGTTGCTGTCTTTCCGCTAGTCTTTACTTTGTTCAGCTTCGTTGGGGAAGAATTGGTTGATAATGATGCTTCCGGAGCTACCCCACTTGTACTAGAAGCAGACTGTGCAGAAGCAGACTGTGCAGAAGCAGACTGTGACCTCCCCTTATCTTTAGAGTCTCCACTGCCACGCTCTGTTCCACGCCCTGTTCTCCCCAGGGACAGAGCTTCTTGAGCCCTTATACAGTCTGCAAGGACATTGCTCTTCCTCGAGTCGTCACCACGAATACGCAGATTGTTTGTACCAGTCTTGTTTGTACCACTCTCCACTCTTGCAGTTAGGCTCGCAGTGACTGCTTCACGGACCTCACGGGCTGTACTGAGAGCAGGAGTCTTGTTGGTCTTTTGATGATCTACTTCATGATCAGCCTTTTCTTGTTGATCTACATCAAAATTTACATTATTTGTATTTGATTGCGCAGTTCTTTTTCTTGTAGGAGTTGTTTTTGAAGAAGTGGTTTGTTGTTCAGCAGAGCGGCTCCTTCGAAAAACACGGAAGGGACCTTTTGCTTCCTTGGACGTAGTCTTTCCAGCCGTTTGCAAATGAGCAGCCGTCTTCTTCGCCAGCTCGTTCTCACTAGGTAGACGTGCAAAGCGTCGATGATCTACAGATGTTGTAAAAGCATACGGTAGCTTCTCCACAGTGTCTATGTCTACACCAGGAGCATAGAAGCCATTGATCACAACTGCCGTAGCCTTAGTTCCACTAACTGTACTAGGTGTTCCTCCTGTATTAGTTGTAGCTCCAAAAGAACCAAAAGCAGCTCTCGAGGACGAACTTGAGCTAGTATTTGTTGAAGCAGTATTGGGTTTAACTTTAATGTCATTGTTCAGTGCCCCACCTGAATCGAGAAGATTATTCTCTGCATTCACAGGGTTTCCACCTACTGCTGGATCCCAAGCGACGACTGGAGCTCCGCGACTTCCTCTCAGATTTATCACTGTTCCTATTGGAGGCGCATTCTCCTCCGAAAACGCTGTTTTCACCAGCACTGGCCTTCCTAGAACTACCTCATTTCGCCCAACACCCCTCGCTTGACCATCAGGATTCAAGGTCACGTACTCTCCCTGATTATTCTGACCTAGGATTTGCAAGTGAGAAGAAGATTCTGGATTTCTACTCGTGTCGTAGAAGTCCCGGCCCTCGCCTTGTTCTGGTGCTACTTGGTTCTTAGAATCACCCGCAAGCAAGCCTTCCGCATTTGGAGCTTTGCGACAGATAAAGCAAAGAAACAGGGCGAGAACAATCGCCATGCCCAAACCGGTACTGGCCCAACTCATGACCTTTGCCTTTCGTTCCTCGTCGGCGCGCCTCTCCTCGTCCTGCTTTTTGTGAATTAGACGAGGAAAACCAAGATGAAGAGCAAAACAAAGTTGTTGATTGACATATATAAAATAATTTCATACAAGCAACTAGTAAAGGAGTTACTGGTGCTGGTAGCTAATAGACCTACAGGAGTAAGTAGAACATCAACATCCACGAGAAACATCGCTATCATCTATCATCCATAACATCTGTTGCGCGGCTGCCAGTTGTTGAAGTATTTCCCAGCTGTAGCCACCGGCGTCTGCTCTTACTGCCGCAGCCTGACACTCGTAGACGCAGCTGGTAGCCACTTCCAGATCGTACTGGCACTTCCCCTCATCCGCACTCCCTTTGCAACTGAAAATGATTGTGCCATCAACGCTTATAACCGAGACCTTGCCACCTTTTCCAGCCGCGTTCAACTCCACCTGCAAAACAGAGGCAAACAAGGCTTTTGCAGCTGTACTCTGGGATCGCGAGAGGACGTTGTCGTGTTGCTGCGACGCACTGCCCGAAGCATATAAGCTGCTTGTTGTGCTTCCTGTTGGGCCGGTCGCGTAGAGTGTGCTACTGGACGACGCGGCGGCTTGACCTTGCAGGTCGCGTGGCAATCGAAGTTCGTACTGCACAACGACGGTCTTCGCATTTACGGGGGAAGTATTCGCGACAGGAGCCGTAGAAAGAGCACGACTAGAAGTCAGAAGTTGACGAGCAGCAGCTTGTCCTCGTTGCCGTTGATCTTGATGAACTTGAACTTGATAATCGCTGTTGATCTGCCGGATGACAGCACTTGGTCCGATTTGAAGCGGTAGCGGAACAAGGGGACTAGCTTCAGTTCTAAGGCTTTTTGGTGAAAGTCCTCGAGCTCTCCAAGGATTAGAAAGTTTTCGCTCCCTTCTCCACATCAAAAACTGCAGCAAGCCTCTAGTTTTTCTGCGAGCAGATAAGGGTCGTAACGGAGACTGAACGACACGGCTCTTCTTCTTGTTACCCCTCAGCATTATTGTCTGATTATCCTTCTCCAGCACTTGCATCCTCTTCATCATTGAAGTGGCTAAGGGGGTCTTGTAGGTCTCGTAGTTGTGCTCTACCTCCAGCAATTGGTAGTGATTCTTCGTAGCAGGTGGAGTCCCCATCTTCACTGGTCGCTCTTCCAAGCGCCTTCTATCGTCCCAAACACTAGGTCTTCTTTGCGCGCTCAGTAGAAACCCTAGCACGCTGAGTTGGGAGTTTTGGATGCCAAATTTCATGGCCAAGGCCATCTGAAACGCACCACGGGTCGCTTCATCCTCGTACAAAGCGTATCCTGTCAATGTCGACGGTAACTGCATCTCAATCTGCGTGCGTCCTATAAAGCGATCTTCCGTGTCGGGATTGAAAGGCGTCCCTTCTGAGACAGAAGTAGTTGAACCTTGATCGGAATTTGTGGGTGTTCGTTGTCCAGCAGCACCTGAAGCAGTTGAACCTGAAGAACTAGTTCCCTCACCAGTTGGTCCTTGAGTTGTTGATGTTGGAACTACAGGGACAGACTGTTCCGGTGTGTTATTATTTGTGCTGGTATAATCTTCTCCTGAGGTGGTCCCTGAAGAACTCGAACCAAAACCTGATCCGGAAGAACTACTACCACTAGTACCAAAACCCGACCCTGAAGATGTTGTCGGAAATGACACACCACCTCCTACTCCAAACGGCGTGTCATCTTGCGTGTTGGTTGCACTCGAAGGAGGTATCGCTGGAACTGGAACTCCTAAGTTTCCAGAACTAAAATCCTTGCCTCCTGTGCTACTAGAAGAATTAGAGGTCGTGACGGAAGGAGAAGGACAGCTGTTTGTCTTTTTAGGTAGATACTACGACAACTAGTAGCAGTAGTAGTAGTATACCCAATCTGGGGGTAAGTTCAGCAAGTGCAAGGGGAGGGAGGGTTACATTCAACGTCCTTGGGTGGCATTGCGTGTCATCTTCCTTATGTGTGATAGTATTCCTTAACTGAAGAAGAAGAGCTCAACGCTGGATCCGTGTCTTGCGCGCTCGCGAGAGCCCACTCTTGATCGGTCATGCGCCATACGCCTTCTAGATTCGGAGCCCAAGGCTTAGTTGTGTCTGTTAGAACTTGCAGAAATGCAGCATCGCGGCGAGCATCTTGTTGCCCGTTTTTCCTTCAATTCAAAACGGAGGCAAGATGCTGCGGCCGGAAGATGGATTTCCTCAAGCCTTAAGTCTGATGATGCGTCCTCCACGACTGCACCAGGGAGTTGTGAGGGGGCATCAGTATCATGATGTATTTCCATCCACAAGGAGATAGCCTCTAACTCGATTCTCTTCAAATCCGCCTCCAGTCCTATCCAGACCTCCTGTCTCAAGTCTGTTACTGCTCTCCCAGGCTCGTATGTCGTCGTCCTCATCGCGTTGGAAATCATCAACTTACAATTAGAAGAATAGTTACAAACGAGCTTGTTTCTTATTCTTGATGAAGAGAACAGTGCGTGCGTGAACAACAATTATTATTATTATGATTCACTCCAAGTACGTAGTACTGCTAAACAGATATTAGGTACTAAACAGATAAATACTCGATCACGATCACAAACAAAAACAAGCACAATAACTCATATTTATTCACTTTAAGTATAAGTATTGTTCATAACAAAGAACTCTCGCAATTTTTCTGTTCTTTCAGGTTCCTTTTCGGTCGTGAGTCCAAGTCGTGTCTGTATACGGCGTAAACCGTGCTTATATCGACCGCGGACGAAGTCACCTACTGCGTTACGCCAAAATTGGACCAAAGAGTCCCCATCTTCCGGACACGTCTGACAATCACAGACATACTTTTGCGTCGCCTGTACGTACCAAACGTCTCCGGTGGCGCAGGGAATTAGAGAATGAACACGAAGAAGAAAAAATGGACGGGGTGGAAATAAACCACTACCACCATCAGGAACGAGATGGAAAGGGAGTGGCCCATCTCCACGTCGATTTTTCTTGCGTCTAGGAACCTGATGTCTGACTAATCACATTCACAGCAGAATGCCAATAAAATAGTGCTGATTTCTACACTAAAAAATTTCCATAAAAACCTTGGGCACCAAACGTTTCCGCTTGTGTAGAGTGTCGTATCGTGTCGCACACAGCATCCTCCCAAGTCTGGACTCGTTATGGTGTCGTCACAGATGTAATCATGCGTCTTCGCCGTTGGCGGCTCACATTTCTGATACTTGTAGCACTTCCCCTCTGGCCTCAAGCAGTCGTTGTAGCAGTCAGCAGTTGAATCCTGAATATGATCGCACTTCCGTTCGCAATCTATCTTGCAACGAGGGTTAGAAGAGGGTGTTTAGTGGGCGGAGCCTTATACTTGTCATGTGTGCATTTCTGTTATGATCCTACCTTCCAGACTGGGAAGAATCTGGAAGATAGTGACCAAAGGCAGGAAAGACTAGATTTAGACTAAGTAGACGTACGTGAAGATACGGGCCAAGACAGCAGCACTCAGAAAGCCCTGAGTGTCTGCAGGAACTTGTAGCATATGATCTGATACTTCTTCTCCACAAGCTCACCATAATCAAGTATTCCGCACTCCTGCACAGAAGATTGCCCTTGTCTGCGCAACCACCAACTTCAGCAGGAGGTGAGCAGATTTCCTTGTAGTTGCTGGCTGCGCAGCAATTGGTTCGCTCCAATGCAGCTTTCAGATTAGCCTCGCAGACACAGTGGGCGGAAGCCGTCGCCTGCTCCCACGTGGTTGCGTGCGGGTAGCGTTGGACACAGGAAGTTAGAAGCGAAGATACTGGTAGTGTGAAGGTTCTAGTCACGACACCAGTGGCCTCGTAGTCGTACTACAGCTACAAGCACAGAAGGAACTACCACCTTCTCCCTCGTTCAGGTCATCTAAAAATGTGGGTCGTCTGCTCCCATATGCATACTTAATCATATTCCATTATTTAGTCTCTACAACTACAAGATGAAGTATCGCTGTACTTTGCTATTTCATAAATTGAAATAGTTTTGTGCTTCAATCGAGCGCTCGAAAACTGAGAGATCGCATACTTTCTGGAAGTCTGGTCTATTCCGATTTTGTGCGTGATCGTGAATACACCTGATCTTGTCCCAGCATCCACCGCAATTACAAACCGACTGTCCTGAGGCTATAATCTCCGTACGGTACTGATCCTCTAGACAGAGAGGCAGACACTCATTACGGCATGTCTTAAAGCGTTTTTTTTTGTTTTGAAGAAGATCAGTGAGTGAATCAAAAGTGTTTATCTTTATGTATACGAAAAACTATAAAAGAAGCAAGTAACAACCGAGAATAACCGAGAAGATACTGAAGAACACAGAGTAGCCTTTGAAAGCTACCTCCCGTCTTATTTCAGTCAGCAACTCGCTTATTTTCATCAGTTTTCGATTACTTATTGACAGCCGTACGGGACTGATCCTCTAGACAGAGTTGACATTGACTAAATATGAAGATGGAGCCTTAAATGTCTCAGCACGTGCGTCGTTGCAATCTGGGTTGCAATCCAGAGTGCAATAGTTAGCCCAACCACTGTATTTGCAGCAGTCTACGGGCGTGCGCATCCAATCTGCCGAATTTGAGCCAGCAACAGTCGTATACATATTGCGCCACAACGGAGTAAGGTTGTTCTCGCACCAGCAATCTAAGTGAGCATCCTCCTCGACACCTAAGAATTAGAAATAAGGAGACTGATACTCTTGAATGAGCATCCTTATCGACACCTAAGAATTAGAAATAAGGAGACTGACACTTCTGAATGAGCATCCTTATCGACACCTAAGAATTAGAAATAAGGAGACTGACTCTGACACAGACACTGAATGGTTTCTCAGCTAGGAGACAGTTTAATACACATAGACCATAAGGAAGACTCAAATCCAAGGATGGAAACTTGTTGTGCACGCAGTTGAGAAACGTTACGAAGGGTGCGGGTTCGTAGGCTTGTAGCCAAAAAGCTTGGCAAAACTCACTTTGAGAGGCCGTCTGGGCAGCAACGAAAATTAGAGAAAAAATCATGTCGAAAAAATCAGTTCGTGCAGGAGCCTCCTAGTCCTACAGCGGGGCTTTTTCTTTTGAAGTGATGGCAATCAAATATTTAGACGCTGACTTCGAACTAATGAACGGTCGCAGAATTGCCTTAAAAATAGAAAGTTAGTAGATGTCGGCGATCTTTCCCACTTCGAGCCTTGCAACACACAGTTGTTTTCGTCCGATAGGAATAGTTGCTCGACGTCCCGCTCGTCCTGATAGTTGTATAACGTGTAGAAGAAGCACAAAGATACGAGTGCCACGTAAAAGCGTCGCACCAGCACCACTGCAACGATTGTCATCGCGTACGACCTGCGTGGTATCAATATGGCACGACGCATCTTCATCGTCGAGGTGGCCTCGAGATGACACCTACCTTCATTTGGATTATTCCACTAAATCTGATTGTAGTCTAGCAATTTTTAGCAGAAGCAGAAGAAGTTGTAGTTGTAGAGCTAGAAGCCGCTGAGGAAATGTTTTCATCTTCGGTCGAGAGCTAAAAGAAAAAAAAGGTTGTACTAGAGCAGAAGAAGTTGTCATCTTCTTCGGTAGAGTAGCAAACTGATGTCGAACCAAAACCTATGATGTTCGTTATGTTTTTTACTACGAGCACTCAACTATGAAGTAGTTGTGTTTTATTTTACTAAGTACGAGCAATCAACTATGAAGTTGCGTTTTCTACTACAAGCATTTTTCAGTGTGGCTTCTCCTCAAATCGATTACTCAACATTGAAGATATTTTCTGGGTATCTATTTGAGCGGGAACAGTGTGTGTGAACATTCAGCAGCAGTGTGAGCATGATTGGGGACATGGGGCAGGGGGCTCCTTATTCAATGAAATAGAAATGTCACATTTCTGAAATGAATTAGGTCTACAATACTATACGCCTTTATCGTCTCAAAGACCCTGTCCCAGATGAGAGGACCGAGACAATGATCTCGCGATGAGTTTGAAGATTGAAGAGCACAGATGGAGATGACAAACTCTCACGCTCACGACCATGCTAGATTTTCATCATAAACACTCGGCAGTTGCTACATTTTCATGCGGAAGTAGAAGTTCTTTACGACCACAGAGCATGTCTGTGGCGGACAACTTCAACCACATCTTCAACAAACACAGAAGATTTTGGATTTGGATTTGGAGATTTCAGAAGTTTCTGGAGTTGAAGTGAGTCCTTCTTCCTCGTTTCCGTCTCGTACTCGCGAATGTTGCTACAACATGTAGGTGATCGTTGCTAATCGAATTTATAATTACTTTCTGCTCGTGCTCATTCTCAAGGATACTCGAACTCGTCATAAAACTTGTCCTTCAACAACAAGGTGTCCCGTTGAAGGTTGTCCACGCGAGTGTTGTCCTTGTAAAGCAGGCTGCATTTGCGTGGCAGACTCAGCCCATTGCTCGGCTCTTCTCCATTGGTAGACGCTGCTCCACTGGTACAAGGTGGCGCTTCTGCTCCTCCTCCTCCTCCTCCACTGGCAGACGATTCAATAGTAGCGGCCTGCAAGACAATTTCCAACATAGCGAACTCTTTGTCGTCGCGCAGACTTGAAGGCTAAAGTTACTTCTTCCCTCACCTCCTTGTTTGCTTTCAATTCTTCAGACGCGTTCTTGCAACTATACTCTAGCGCGAGCTTTCAGGACGACCTCCTTGTCCTCCCGTTCAATTTTTCAGATGTAATATTAACTCATATCGTCCCCACGATAGTGCTCCTGCTCCAGAACGGCCTTGAATTTCCTAGATGCAAACTCAAGTGCCTCGCCGTTCTTCTGCACGGTTTTCAGGACGAACTCTTTATCCAGATTCAATTCGTCAGATGCCCAGTCAAGTGCTCCATAATCTTGCTCCACAGCATTCATTACAACATCTTTATCCGCTTGTAATGCTTTAGATGCAAACTCAAGTGCCATGCCTTTCTTCTGCACGGCTTTCAGGAAGAACTCTTTATCCGCTTTCAATTCGTCACTTGCCCACCGAAGTGCTCCATAATCTTGCTCCACAGCATTCATTACAACATCTTTATCCGCTTGTAATGCTTTAGATGCAAACTCAAGTGCCATGCCTTTCTTCTGCACGGCTTTCAGGAAGAACTCTTTATCCGCTTTCAATTCGTCACTTGCCCACCGAAGTGCTCCATAATGTTGCTCCACAGCATTCATTACAACATCTTCATCCGCTCGTAATGCGTCAGATGCATACATAAGTGCCATGCCTTTCTTCTGCACGGCTTTCAGGACGAACCTTTTATCCGCTTTCAATTCGTCAGATGCCCAGTCAAGTGCTCCATAATGTTGCTCCACAGCATTCATTACAACATCTTCATCCGCTCGTAATGCTTCAGATGCATACTGAAGTGCGAACCCACAATTCTGCACTGCTTTCAGGACAGCCTCTCTGTCAGCGCGCAGTTCCTTAGATGCATACTGAAGTGCGCGACCACTTTTCTGCACAGCTTTCAGGACGATCTCTCTGTCAGCGTGCAGTGCTTCAGATGCGTGCGCAAGCGCGTAGCCATCTCGCGCCACAGCTTTCAGGACGATCTCTCTATCCGCTTTCAATGTTTCAGATGCATACGCAAGTGCTTCATCGCCTCTTGCACCCGTGAGTAATAGTCTACAAGTCAACCAGCAATTAATTTTTACGGTGGCCTCGATGGCTTTCAGGACGAACTCTCTATCCGCTTTCAATATGTCAGGTGCCCACTTGAGTGGTGCTGCACCATATCGTTGCACAGCCGCCAATAGAAAATCTTTGTCCGCTTTCAATGTTTTAGATGCGAACTCAAATGATAACACATCCGCCGCCAAAGCTTTCAGGACAACGTCTTTGTCATTTCGTGCATCTTCAGGAAGTGGGTCCGAAGGTCTTGTGCTTGCTTGCTGCATCCACTCTCTCCACGTGTCTACCGCCTCCGGGGACCGTGCCGCGATTGTGAACCCGACACTTCTTTCACCTCTGCTACCCATGCCGTGAGTGCGTTGTGAGACAGAGGAAAGGGCGTCCAGTTCGTCTAGCTTTTTTTTTCCATCTATCTCACCAGCGGGAAACAGAGCTCTGTTGCCGATGATAAAATGCAGTTGGGCGAGGTCCTCTATCTGGGTATCTAGAGTGCCATTAGCTTGTCGCGTCATCAATTGTTGGAGGACTTTCTTGCCCAAAGTCCTCACCGTATCACTGAAGACTAGAGAGGCTCCCTCATGGTTTTTGTCTACGTTCTTTCTGTCCTCTATTCTGACGCTGGCACCCTCGCTGCCGCTAGGGAGAGAAAACGTACAAAGCACGGATGCGGGAGACGAGAGCGCCTCCTCTACTTTTGGATCATCCGCAAGAGGAAGATGTGGCGACATGAACACTTTGCTTCCATCGGCATCATCTTGCTTCATGGCTACAGCGCGACGAAGGAACAGCACGACCGTGAAGGCCCAAACAGAAAGAGGCATCTTCTTCACGAAATGCTTCATCGTGGTAATTTTGTTCAAACAATCTTCGAAGTTCCAGATCCGAAAGAAACACAAAAGAAGACTAATAGAATTATACCCAGAAGATGCAGCTAGTGCTACCAGTAGACTACTACAATATATTTTTTAGTGCCTCGGTTGTACTGTGATGCAGTAAAATTAGCGTTCGATGTAATGAATATGAAAACGATTAGAAAAAATCTCGATTAATGCAATCCTGAAAAACTCGAATGCCTTTAATCTAGTAGTTTCATGGTCGTGTGATCATTTTAATGGATTGCCCAACATCCTCTAAACTTTATGCTCTTCATCTTCATCTTCTGACAGAGCACAAGAGAGTAGATCATTGATTGACATCTAGATCTTACTGGTGGCGTGACCTTTGATCTTACTGGTGTGATCTTTGATCTTGCTGTGATTTTCTGAGGATCCGAAAAGGAGAAGAGTACAGCTCTGGAAGTCATCTTTTTCTTTTCGAGTCTTTTTCTTCATCTTCTTCTTCTTCTAGAGTCTCATCACATGATAACACTTCTTCCTCACGACCATCCTCACGACCATTGACAGGGGTGACTCTGAAGGGCCGTCCTCATGCGGGTCTCCATCTTCATCTTCTGTATTCTCAACAAGTGAACAACAAGACGTTTCAAAAGCGCGCCGTATGGTTCTGGTATTTGGTAGCCTGAGTTTGATCCTAAGGGTTCTCTTCTTGTTTTCCGTTATGATCAAATTCAGGCTATACCAAAAATACCGGAACCATTCACGCGCTGCGTTTTCATGTTGTACTAGTATTTCAAATGCTGTTGTTGATGATCAGAGTAGTTGGTGATAGTTTTCCTTTTCACCGTTTTTCAAAAAAAAATCAACATCAACATCAAGAGGCGCATCAACATCAACTTCTCTAGAAAGAGCGCCTGAACCTGATCCACCTGATCTTTCTAGGGCAATTTCACCACCACAACGGACACATTGTCGCTAGCTCCTCGTTGTAAGGCTGTCTCCACTAGCTGTTTAGCAGCAAGATCTACCTCCGCTTGGCCGAGACCGAGCTTGTGTTAGACGCTACGAAGAGTATCCTTCTCCTAGGCGATATGTCGAAGTGAAGACCGAGAAGACGTTTCGGGTTCAAGCACTGTAGAGGTACTAGTAGATGTAAACATGACTGAGGGAAATACTTACGTCGGTGGTGACAGATTTATAAAAAATTGATGTTGATGATGATGATGATATACCCAGCCAATTGTGTTGACGGGTGTGCACTGTAGACTGTTTTAATTATATGGGAAATTTCTTTACATGTACTAGAGCTACAACTAGCTGAAGTACTAGATGACCTGAGAAGTACGCATATCAGTTCATAATGATAATCTTCGTCTTTGAGAGGTCGCAAAACCGCTTCGATGATCTCGCAGCTTTCGTGGCCACTCAGCACTTCGAATAAGCCGTCGCTTGCAATCAACAAAAAATCCCAAGGTATGAAGAAGAGCAGCGCTAAGAAGAGTCTATCATTGGCTAATATACCAACCCCTAGACTATACGATGACACTCTGCAGCCTCAAGCGCTAAGAAGAGTATTCAGCAAGGGTTGTCCGCAACGACAAGACAACTACTAAATGGCCATCGGCGGATGCTCCGAGGAGTTTCACCACAAACAGAAGACTTTTGTAATACTAACATTATGTTGATTGCGCTCATATATGTAAGTGTAAGAAGACATCTTTTTATGCCATTTTCTTGATAAAACGGAATATGCAATCATAAAGACTTTTTATGCCATTTTTATGATAAAAGGTGTCAGCACAACATATGACCTTCACGACATTGTCCTATGTGATCATAAAAGGTGTCATCGTGTTCTTCGATAGGGTGATCGTCTCTGGTTCCGAAGATACGTAGCGCTTCAAGCCTTCAGGAAGGCGTCCGAGGGACCGACTCGTTGCCAATTTTCCCATTACTCTTGGTAACTGCTGTGTTGCTGTTGCAGATGATGCATCAGCCGTATTCGCGGAGGCTGCGGCACCACCACTGTCCGGAAGACCATGCACACCACTAGACGATGCAGCTAGAGCAGTTCTGCCACTAACAAACCCACCCGCAGCAAGAATGCGATCCAGCTCTTCGGGCAAGTCAGGGCGATGAGAGATCCCTACACGTCGGATCGTCATTCCGGGAACACGTGGCTTTATCTTCTCGCGGCTAAAAATTTTCGTGTTTTTAGAGCCGCTGTTTCTCAAAGACCGTTGCTGGAGAAGTACCAAGTACAATTTTCTCGCTCCGCCTGACGATTCTCGGATATCCTCGATCTGCCCCAATTCGCCAGTGCTTATCACTTCAATCTTACGACCGAGGGCAAGAACTGCGTCTTCGTCATCTTTGCCAACGTCTTGTTTTGCCGCAGCCGTAGTTTTCTTCTTGCCTGCCATCCACAATTCACAGTCGCCTATCTGAGCTGCTACGAGGAACGTCGATCTGGCTGTCCTAGAAGAGACTCTACTACTAGTACTATGTGGACTTCTTGCACGACTGGTTCCCTGTGCCACAGTTCCATGTACAACCAGTGTCAGCGTTGATCCAGCTTCTGTTTCCTGTGCCTGAACGAGAAAACGGTCAAACTCCTGCAACGCCAAGTGCAGTGCGCTTCGTACGACCGAAGGTGCGTCTAGGTGTTCCCATCCCACGTCTTGTTCATCTTCACTACCGTTTTTCTTGATGGCACGGTTCTTCCTTGTCTCTGATGTAGTTGAAAGCGATTGTTGTTGTTCGTCAGTCAACATGTTGTATCTCTCTGATGTACTTGTCCTCTCATGATCCTCGCCTGAAGCTGCAGAAGCTAGCCCTGGCTGATCCTCGCCAACCACAGCAGTACTTTTTGTACTGGTAAGTTGCATCTTCAAGATGGCAGGACGTAAAAAGTCGTCAATAAAGCGATCGCGCAACAAAGTTGCGGCTTCATGTCCATAATGCCCATCAGCTACGCCAAAGACTTGAAGCTCAGATGAGGGGATCTGTATCTTCCCCATCAAAATTGCGTCTTCTTGACTCGGTCGTCTACCTTGTGCTTGAAAAGAACCCAACAAAAGGGATGTTCGACTACCTCTAACATGCTCTTGTGCTCCGAGAATATCAGTAGTCTCCTCTACTTGTTCTACTTCTTCAGAAGCTCTTATAGTATCTCCACGTGCAGCATCTCCTTCGCGACCATATTTAGAGGTATCTATCGGCAATTCATCTCGGGGATCATCTGGGCCCCTTTTTCGTCTTGTTATTTTCTTCCAGATGACTTTGAAGATGAATTCCCTACTACGCTCATAACATATGCAGCACCTGCTCTACTTTCTTCGTCAGCACCTCCGCCACCCTCTTGTTCACCTCCTACAACACCGTCAACACCTTCAGGTATCAACCTCGCTTCCTTTCTCTCGAGAAACCACGGATGCCTCAACGCTTCAGGTGCAGATATTCTTCGAGCAGGGTCCCACATTAGCATGCGTCGTAGCAGATCCCTTGCTAGCGGATCCGGTAGTCCTTCTCCACTTATGTCTTTAGAGCCGACTGTATGATACACCTACTCGAAAAACTAAAATAAGCGAGCAACAGAGGAGAATAACCGAGATACTTATGAGAAGGAAGAGTAGCCTTGATGTTAAGCTGCCTTCCTTATTTCAGTCAGTAAATCGGTTATTTTGAGTTTTCGAATATGCCCAGTGCAGCGGGCCCTTGATGGGCCCACATTAGCATGCGTCGTAGCAGATGCCTATCTCCCATCATCTTAACCAAGCAGTACACGACCCAATATCGAAGGGAAAGATAGTAATAACGAATCTTCCTAGAGGACGAGAATTTCCTATCATTTTCCCCTAGAGGACACGGGCCCCGTTATCATTTTCCCCTAAGTGGATGCTTGTTCTAAGGTGCTTGTTATGTAAGGTGCTTGTTATGTAAGGTGCTTGTTCTAAGGACTAAGGTGCTTGTTCTAAGGTGCAGACTGAGGTGTAGACTGAGGTGCAGACTGAGGTGTAGACTGAGGTGCAGACTGAGGTGTAGACTGAGTGGATACTTGTTCTAAATGGATTGGCATTAGCATTTAGCATTAAAAGGCTTAGGATTAGCTGCAGCAAGGTACGCCTAAATATTGTGTGTGACTAGACGGTGATTAATCAAAGACTTAGAGCTAGCCCTGCACTGGAACACAAATAATCAAACCGAACACATAGCTAAGTGAGTAGGAGGATGGGAAACGCGGAGGGTTCAGATTCGAAGCCGGTACAGAGGAGCGTGGTCAGGGTGGTTACGGTTAGCTGAAGCAGGGTAAGCCTTAATATCTAAATGCTGCAGTAAGGCCGCAAACTCTGCGTCGGAGCACTGCTGAACGGGTCTAATACAATTGTCGGTGAAACGATGCGCCTGTAGAGCTTGTTCAAACTCCAGAGGAGAAAAAGACGTTTTATATTGATGCTCGAGGCGTCGTCGCTTTCGCTCATTGATCTTCTCTTCCTCTTCTGTGCGCATTATGAGGGAGGACGAAGAAGTTCTGTTTACTCATTAATCAACTGCACCAACCTAAGTCCTCAAGATTGTAGGCAATTCGTTTGCGTATTCCTAAGATTCTGGCTGTTCTGCCAGCCTAGCCAGAGTGGTTCTACGTTAATTTGGGTACTTCCATGAGTAAAACTCTTTTCATAATCATTCTCGATGGACCCCTTCCAAGTAGTATCGTGCTCCATTCTCGGATACGCAGGATCTGATCGGTTTTTCGCCCGGTCAAAATCTCCAGAAAAACGAGGCCTGCAGCAAAGATATCAAAACTCGGAGCCCGATAATACTCAGAGGAACTATTCATCTTGTTCTGGTCATTTTCGTTTTTTGAAGAAGAAGTAGATGCTCTTGGTTCCGGTGACACGCCCTCGTCATCCACTTGGAGATTCAGATTCTCTCGAGAAGCATTGTCATCATCTTCATCTTGTCCATCATTCTCCTGCTTCATATTTGTTCCACCACCTCGACCTCCAGATCCAACGTGTTCTTCACTCTCAGATCTAGCAAAAAAAGCTTCTGGTGGTAGGTAAGCAGCAGTTTCTTCCTGAGGTCCCGGACCGGCAGGGCCATACAATTGGTCCTCGAAGCTATTGCCAGAATTAGAGTCCATGCCTTAGTATAAGATCAGTCAATTTCAAATGAGACTCATCCCCTTCTCCATTACGTAGAACAAAAACAAAATGAATGCTTGTTCTTATAATTAAGATTAACAGCGTTCAACTACTATTATCATTATGGACCCTGACCCAACGGGAACGAACTATTGATGAATATAATGGCCAGACTTATTCATGAGGGGCCGTTGCCTTAATATTCGAAGATCCTGTTCTTCTTGAAGCGTCGTTCTCCTGATGAACTTCTAAATTATGAAAAACGGCCGATCCAAAATCTGCAATCCGAAGATGTAGCGTTTTTGCGTCCACTTCTCGTACCAACAAATTGCCAAGCTTAATGTCACGATGTGTGATTCCTACAGCATGGGTCTCAGCTAAACCATGAAGCAATTGGTAGATCAACGATCGAAGAACCTGCTGTCCATCATGTTGCTGTTGGTAGCCAGCTGCTTTTTCCTGGTCATTCTCGCTCGGGTGCGGGTTCTGGTTCGAAGCGTTATGTCGTCCTCGATGGATGGATCCGGAAGCTGACGTAGAACGACTTGCAGCTCTCTGCTCATCTCCTGGCAGTGATATAGATTCTCCGTAGCTTCTCCCTGGTACTAGCGTTGTAAGAGGAAAAGTGACTGGCGCTGGTGCGCTCGGTGGAGGTAATTGCAGACTCGTCGAAGTTATGTCGTGGTTACCATTTGTTCTTGTGACGATGTGGCTTCGAGGCTGTGTCGCAAAGTCAGAGTAGCTTGTCATATCCGATAAAACGATTGCTGGCGGAATCAAATCTACTTCGGACGAAGAAGATGTTCCTCCACCTAGTAATATACTGCTCCCAGAAGATGAAGGTGACCCTCCAGCTCGTCCACTTGCATGCTCACCTTCTTCAGCTCTACTACTTCTACCTCCTCTAGTGCTTGACAATGCACTTCTTGATGTTCCTAAATGTTGAGGCGGCATCATTTGTCCTCGTCCCATGATACTGTCAACAAGTGCTACGTCATGGCTTCCTGCTGGACCAAGTAGCTGAGCACCTACTTCTGTACCAGGAGGTTGTGATCCAGCAATCGCAACTGCATGTGCCTCTCCCTCTAGATGGTTCTCGGTTCCACCCTCTAGTTCTAGCCGCTGGCGACGTGTAGAGGATGAAGAAAGGTCAACAAGAGAAATGATCGAAGTCGAAGGATCTCCCCTGGAGGTACTGAAATCAGCAAAGGGATCGTACGCTTGGCCTGCTGCATGTCCTCCTGAAGTAGTCCTCAACATGTTTCGATTTCCTGTCACCGAGGGTGAGGATCCAGGAGTTCTTACGCTAACTGCTTGTGACATTGCCTTCATGGACCACCAGAACGGGCTGGGGGCTACATCACTACCATCCGAATTCACCCACCATAGAAGATCTCTCAAAGAATATCCCTCGTTTAGGAAAACAAGCCAAAGTTGCTCATCGTCTTGGTCCTCTTTGATGTAGTCGTCCTCGTCGTTCCGTAAAAATAAAGAAGATGTTGATTGAGGGTCACCAGATACCTGTTGATAATCAACACCTTTGCCTAGTACTTGTTCTAGAACATCAAACGCTTCTTCGTGGTTGATGTTCTTGTCTTCTGCTGGTTCAAACTTCTCCGTATCTTGAAGACCCGGCGAAGCAGCTTCTATATTTTCTTCTACTTCATTTAGTTCTGCACTTACATCGTCCTCACCCACTGCATCAAATACAACTTCTTCATCTACTAGTACTTCTCTGTTGTTCTGGTTGTCCGGAGAAGGAGGCTTCGTCGTAAAGAAATCTAGGTACCTCGCGACATGCGGCGCGTGCCTGAGCTTTACTCCAAAGAAGATTTCTCTTTCACCTGAGCGCCGAATATCATGAGAGATCAAGGATTTTTCCGTGAATAAACGTTTCAAAACAACCTCCTGGTACTCGCCTGTAGTCCCGATTTGCTCCAACGCACGCCAGACTTCTCCAAAATGTCCACGCCCGATCCGCGTTCTTGAATGCTTCCAGTCATTGGGAATGTCGATCATAGGGATATGCCGTTCCCCTTGACCTTCTTACGCAAAAAACGACATGATCATTCCCAGATCTTGTGTGTTCTCAATGACTGGGATCATACAGTTCTGCCTTGTTGTTCTTCAGTTGTGCTGCTGCTGCCTTGATGACGATGACGACGTCCACCTGCTTGTGTTTTTAAGCGACTCGTCATATGATTATCTTCGAAGTGTGTGTTCGATGGGTCAGCCACCTGTTGATAGGTGTCTAAAACACCTAGATGTTCATCCACTGCTCCTTCCAAGTCTTCGTCGTCTTCTGCAGTACTATCTACCTCTGTCGTAGCATCTTCCTCTGCAAATCGTGCTGCTTTCCTATCTTCTGGTTCGACTGAATCCGTATCCGTCGAAACAAGTGGTGTACTAAAAGATGAAGTTTTGGTAGTACTTTGTGTACTTGAGGTGTTGTAAATAGGAAAAATAACTGATGAAGAGGATGGATGTTCTTGTTGTGCTATGAGAACTCTCTGCACCGTCGATCTGTATGGCAAAGTGATGCCCCGACTCGTGAAAAAACTATCCACTTGGGGAGCGAATAGTTAGAGTCGGCCTCTATCCATCTCGGTCCCCTCATCTTGAGCCCTTTGTTTCACATAAACAAATACAAGACGAAGGGAGCAAAAGCAAGGCGAGGTGATGCTGAGAAGGATGGATAAAAGCCGACCGTAAAATAGACCCCTATAATCCTGCTGTTCGTTTTCCTCTCCTGACCCTACTTCTGCTTGTACTACGCCACCAGGGCCAGCAGTCGTGATAAAATTATGTCCTGATAATTCGTTTAGGGTTTCTTTCTCTCGACACTGTCCGTGATGTTCTTGGTCGATGTCCTGGCTCTCGTCGCCTGGTCTACATGTTGTACTTTTAGCTGTTCCTCCTTCAATCGCACCAGCAGCTGTCTGTATATTTCCTACTTGTTGACCTCCACTTCCTGATCTTCTTAGTCCACCTACAATATAGCAGCAACTTGCGAAGATTTGCTGAGCTATGCGCGAAAACCAATTATTTTGATTGATGATGTAGTTGTACAATATGGAAGATATTTGAGGAACGAGTTCTTGGAGATCATAGGATTCAGCTTCCTCGTCGTTGTGCTCTTCTTTGATCTTGATGTATCTTCCTCCACCACAACTTCGAGGACTTCTTCCAGTGGTAGAAGAAGAGCTTCTTCTACCTCTACTTGGTATTGGTTCTACCTCCTCTTCTACTTGGTCTTTGTCGTCATCGTCTGGAAGAGACGAAGATGGCGGGACTGGAAGAGACAATGTAGTTCTGGTGGGACTGAAGCCTTGTGAAGAAGAGATTCTTGTAGTTCGATGTTCTTGTTGGCCACCGCCAGCTGGTAAACTATGTTCATCGCTCCAGAAGCAGCGAAATTGCAAGTCAACCCTTTCCACTAAGATGTAACGGCCATACTCAAGCACATATCCAGGATACAAGGCAGGCCATCTAGTAGTAGGAGAAGGGCTAGGTGCTGGGGAGTCGACGCTAGCAGTGGCGGGCCACGACCTAGTAGGAGAAGTTGAAGTACTAGAAGGGGAAGACTGGACTCGCCCCGATCGCCAGCTGCTAGACGTAGCTGCAGGTGATTCGTATTCGACGTGTCCCAGTGTCTGCTCACCAAGAGGTGAAGTGATCTTGTTTCGCCCAGTTTGACGGTCTCAAATTAGAGCGCAAGAAGATGAAAGAACAACTCGTTCGTTGTGATTTTTCATCTCCAAAGTACAACATCAACTCTAGCCCTAGTAGTACATCCGACGGAGGTACAACTTCTAGATCCACTTCTAATGCCTACAATTTTTATGAGGAGTTACTTATACTTCATAGTCTTACTCACTGAGAGTGAGATGAGATAGAAAATTCTTTAAGAATCTTCATCTCGAACTCGATCTCTCCAAGTTTTCTAGTAAGTAAGTGTCGTAAGTATAAACCGGCCGCTACTGGAGTATTCTCTTCATCACGAGCGTCAGCTAGACCATGACCAGCGTCATTGAGCAGCATTTTTTCCTCTCCATTCCCATCCTTGTCCTCCCTGAAGATGTTGATGTTGTTGTTTTGCTTAGTCGTAGGCCCTCCTGAGAAAACTTGTTCCCTGTTTGCGTCAGCATCATCGTGCTGTTCAACATTTTCTTTCTGGTCCTGGTTCGTTATTTTTGTGCTTCTTCCACCAGTAGCGAAACTAGATGATGAAAGTGCCAAGAAAAGAGCAAGAAGAACATAAAAAAGTCGTCTTGAAGATGTCATACGACTGCTCGTCGAGCTGAGAGATTGAGATGTTGATGTTGACGAAGATATTATTTGGTGAAGGTGTCCCCCTCGTCCTGCTGTACTAGAAGCTCTACTTGTTGTAGCGCTTGTTGTATAGAACAAGGACCCAAAGCCGAAACTTATACCACTTCTGATGGTCGTGCTGTTTCCATTGGTTCTGATATTTTTGATGGTACAACTGATTGTGATGTTCCCACTGTTTGCGTTTCTGAGACACCTACAACATATTGTTCTAGATGAAGTTGTTCTTGTTGACGTTTTTGAAGCAGAAGTTGTTGATGTTCTTCCTGTCCCAGGAAAGCCACTTCGATAGGTGAACAAAAAGAGCTGCGAAGGATTTGGGCTCTTGGATTTGGGCGGGGCTCGTAGTTCCATAATTCTCTCACCTTTTGACAAAGTAAGCCAATGTATGACATAAAAAAAAAATTATGAAACAATAAAAGTTTCTGTTTAGGTACTGTTTCTTCTGTTTAGTTTTTTGCTTTGACATAAAAATCATGGATGAATCGTAATCGACCTTTATCTCAGGTGGCCTTAGCCTTAATCCAGATGTCCCAACAATGATTCATCAGTTCCTGCTCAGCAATCAAATACTGTCACTTGTTTGTTGATCAAACATTCACTTTCGCCGCCTCCTCTTCTAGTACAACAAGAAGCTTCTATGCACCAGAAAGCAGCAGCCCATTGATCACATATGATTGATTCTTTCAATAAAGGAGATTGATTGATCATGTAGATGTAGATTTTCATAGTAAAAGGCGAGGTTGGCGCTGGCACATCAGCCGATGATCCCAGGAAACTGGAAACTACAACTATCATTGTTTTTGCTAGTTGTAGCAGAAGAAATCATTTTTGGACAGAGTCGTCTCTGCTCAAAAAGCTTCTCGCACTCGCAACGAACTGGTGCACCGAAATGAAATCTCCTGAGAACCGCACTTCTCAGTTTGTTATGATGTTTTTTTCACGAACATTTTTTTGGATTTTGGAAGAGGCAACTCACGTTGAAGAAGTTACAACATTAACATATTTTTTGTAGTTCATCTTCATTGACATGAGAGCATCTTCATCAAGATTTGATAGTTCTTTATCGTAAGCATTGCTTTTCATTGCTATCTACCTGCTAACGAGGAACAGAGCACACCTTTACAGCACATGAGCTTGAAGTTGAAGTCTCAAAAGGAACTCTCCTTCAATCAAATAAATTGTCACCGGCGCCTGTCCCGTTGAAGGTTGTCCACGCGAGTGTTGTCCTTGTAAAGCAGGCTCAGCCCATTGCGTGGCAGACTCTAGCCCATTGCTCGGGTCTTCTCCATTGGTAGACGCTGCTCCACTGGTACAAGGTGGCGCCTCTGCTCCTCCTCCTCAACTGGCAGACGATTCAATAGTAGCAGCCTGCAAGCCAATTTCCATAGCGAACTCTTTGTCGTCACGCAGACTTGAAGGCTAAAAGGCTGCCTGTAACAGCTTCCTTCACCTCCTTGTTTGCTTTCAATTCTTCAGACGCGTACTTAAGTGCGAAGCCGAACTCTAGCGCGAGTTTTCAAGGCGACCCCCACGCAACTCGCACGCCATTCTGCTCCCTAGCTTTCAGGACGACCTCCTCGTCTGCCTTCAATTCTTCAGATGCATACTTAAGTGCCTTGCCATTCTGCTCCACAGCTCTCAGGACAACCTCCTTGTTCGCCTTCAATTCTTCAGATGCATACTTAAGTGCGTAGCCAAACTGCTCCACAGCTCTCAGGACAACCTCCTTGTTCGCCTTCAATTCTTCAGATGCATACTTAAGTGCGTAGCCAAACTGCTCCACAGCTCTCAGGACAACCTCCTTGTCCTCCTTCAATTCTTCAGATGCATAATCAAGTGCGTAGCAAAACTTCTCCACAGCTCTCAGGACAACCTCCTTGTTCGCCTTCAATTCTTCAGATGCATACAAAAGTGCCCCACCATTCTTCTCCAGAGCTCTCAGGACGACCTCCTTATTCGCCTTCAATTCTTCAGATGCGAACGTAAGTGCCTCGCCATTCTGCTCCACAGCTCTCAGGACAACCTCCTTGTTCGCCTTCAGTTCTTCAGATGCATACAAAAGTGCCACGCCATTCTGCCCCACAGCTTTCAGGACGACCTTCTTGTCCTTCTTCAATGTTTCAGATGCATACCTGAGTGCCGTGCCATCCTGCTGCACAGCTGGCGTGACGATTTGCGTGTTATCTTGTAACTCTGCAGGTGCGTACCGAAGGGCGCGACCATTTTGCTGCACAGATTCCAGAACGATTGTTTTGATCCTCTCTTGTGCTTCTTCAGGTGCGCCGCGGTAGTCAATTCCTTGACCGTTTTCCTGTCCCTGCAGAGCTTCCCTCCACGTTTGCTCTTCCTTCAGCTGCTCGACGGTTCGCCGCGCCACGACTAGACACGAAAGAGCCCTACCGCTTACTACACTTCCACTACTCGGACCCACACCGTCCACGCCTTGATGTGAAGGAACCGAAAGGGCCTCCAGCTGATTCAACGTTTCCCCCCCACGTCCTCTTTCACCAGAGAGATGCAGCTCCTGAGTACCGATCAGAAACCGCAGCTGTTCGAGGAACCTTATCTCGGCACTGAGAGAAAGTGTGCCATTCTCTTGTTGTGCTACCAATTTTTGGAGGACTGCATCGCCCAAATCTCTCACCGTATCTGAGAACGCCAGAAAGACTTCCTCGTCTTGTTTGCCTTTGCCTTCTCCTTCGTTGTCATCGTCTTGTTTGCCTTCTCTTTCTCCTTTGTTTTTTCCGCCTATTCTGACGCTGACGATCTTGTTCGTTGCAGACAAGCCATAGTAAAACGTTACAGCCACTGCATCTTTCGCAGGAGAGGACGAGGATTGGGCCGAAAGCAGCACTCCTGCAGCGCAATGAAAGAGCAGCATGCTCAAGAAAGAGAGAAGCATCATCTTCAGCCGCTTCATGGTCGCAAGTATGTACTCAACAAAGTCAACAGTTAATCTCGATGTACCAACCTTCTCAAACAAATATATAGCATTACCTTCGGAGTAGAAGTAAATCCAAGTTGCAGAGAGAGCACAGATGTAGAGTCAATGATCTCGCCGTCCTGGATAAAACAGTCTTAGATGCTATACCGTACTTAGAATGTAGTTAGTAGTACTTCTTATTTCGTTGAGCTGTGTAATGAGAACTTAGAGTACCTTATTAGAAAAAATCTGCTCTAGCACTTGCTTCTTTTCTCCTTCTTATGTCTTGATTGAGTGCTCGACTTCTCGTAAAGCAAAAGCTTTTGCTTTCTTGCGGTTTCCTGTTTTTGGCTCGACAAAGATAGGACTTGCTTGGAGCCTCCGCCCCTCTTCTCTTTCGCCCAGTGGCCTAAAAATTATGCAACACGCGGGCGTTCTGATCTGAGAGAGCCAGGCACTTTCGAGCATTAGTCACCGTCAGTGCTGTGAACGACTACCGCAGGAAAAATAGAAAGAAAGGGGGCAGTCTTGTGTTTATCTTGGGCATTTTGTCCGGCTCTTGTCATTCCGTTAACTATAAACACATCCATCAGACCAAAGCTGCCCATTGAGCACATTTCTGACCGAAAAATAGAAAGAAAGGCGCCAAGCTTGTGTTTGTCTTGGGCGTCTTGTCTGGTTCTTGTCATTCCGTTAACTATAATAGTACATCCTTCAGACCAGGCCCCTTGTTCAGATTTTTGACCGTGGTCATTTTTGAGCTTCTTGCTTATTGTTCAAATTTTGGGAATAGATTATCATTCGAAAGAGGAAGAACAGCTCCGCAAGCAATGAATCGACAGCGTGCGGCATCGACTCAATAAATTCCAAGGCCTCAGTAAAAGGCTGTGTATGTAGTTGTCATGGAAAACGAAGGGATGACGGGGATCAGGATGAATATGACGTAAACAAGCACATGAACATAAAGTGTCAATAAGAGCAACTATGTGTGAGCAACTACATCAAGATCGTGATGCACTCACATAGGCCTGGAGATCTTCGCTTTCTCATGTTATCAGTGGGATCTTCATCATATGGCGCTCGCTTTGTTGGATCTTCTTCTCTCGGCAAGGTGGTAGATCATCCATTCCTCTTTATTCTGCACCTCTTCTTGACTCAAGATCCCCGCCTCGTACGACCTGAAGATGGGTCAGCGCAGACACCAAAACACGACACACCTTCCTGTTGTCTTAATCATGCCCTCGAGGATCGTGCCTACGAATTCCAAAGCACATCTTGCACATGGTGAAGAGTGATACTTTTGCGAGCCAGAGGACCAACTGTGGAGGTGGAATGGTTCTTCGCCTTATTCGTATGTATCGGAACGCACTGTGAAGTGCGTCCCGACTGCTCACCAAAATGGGTCCCGCCTCGTCGCCTACACCTAATCGGAATCCCGTAACTACTGATACTGTAGCTACCTATTATTATTATAATTGTTCCAAATCAATTCTGCAGTTTTTCGTGCCCTTTCAAGTGATGACAGTTTCACTGTTCGTGTCCCCTCACATCAATCACAGCCAAGAGCTCTGGCCACCTCACATTTACAGCCAAAAGCTCGCTCCATTTATCACTATCTCACCCTTCCCCCATCTAGTCCCAAAAGGAAATATCTTCTGTCTAAAATCTGGGAATCTATCCTCATACATTCTCACTGCCGTATCGCCTGCTTGCTTCACGAGTTGGTCATCAAAATCTTTCCAAAGTGGACACTTGTCGCATTTTCGACAGAATTTTTCTCCCGAGGAAGGGTCTAAAGGATGCTGGCAGAAGTGGTGATAGCCAGTGAGTTTCGTGCGGCAAACATAACACATGACACAGGCACACTCTGGGCATTTCATCTTGTTGCAACCGTCTTGCTTCGTGAATCTGAGAGATTGAGGAAAGAGCTAATGCAGAGATATCAAAGTAGAAGAAGTGCATGTGCATCAACATCTGCTTCTTGACATCATTGTCATTGTGAACAAGAAAGTCTAAAACATCGTCCGACATCAAGTGAAGAACTACAGAAGTATACATAGGGTAAGACACGCGAGTGCGAAACTACAGAAGTACACGACATAGGGTAATACACGCTCACGCAAGAAAAGTTGAAGTTCTTAATAGTACTGTAATCCACAATCCGGACAGTAGCGAACTTTTTTCTGGCTCATTTTTTCTGACACAAACTGGATGAAGCTGTCCCTGCTCGCTTCTGTCGTGGCATCCAATAAGCTGATATGAGGACAGGCTCTGATGGATAGATTAGAACACGAGCTGCAGTGCATTTGCATCCGACGTGATAGCATCATCCTTGGCCGCTCTTGCACTTATTTCTATCTATAACTACGCGAAGGTGAAGAAAAGCGTAGGATGGTGCTGATCTCAGGACGCAGATGCTGTATGGTTCTGGTATTTGGTAACCTGAGTTTGATCCTAAGGGTTCTCTTCTTGTTTTCCCTTATGATCAAATTCAGGTTATACCAAAAATACCGGAACCATTCAGATGCACAACTACTGTAGGAACGAATGTTGTCTTAAATACAAGGCTGGTTCCTGTTTGTTCTAGTTCTCCCTTTGCACCTGTCGGCGCCCAGCAAAAGTTCGGGAAGTAGTGCGCCTCCTGATGACACAGACTGCAAAACAAGACAGCACAGTTGGGGTTTCGACAGCGGATATTTTGCGGTACGCGTTTTTCATTGTAGTCGGGGCCGTCATCATCATTGTAGTTGAGGCCTTGGTCCTCTGCGTATAGTACTGGTAGTTGGCAAGAATAGGGAGAACCTTCTTCATCACGACAACTGTCGTCATTTTCATTTCCACTCAAGCCAACACGGGGACCAGCGTTGTCTCGTCTGAGACTGACCAGCAGTGTTCTTGTGAAGATGTTCTTTCCTAACAAGGATTCCGCGATATTGGCAGCCTTTCTACGTCTTCTTCCAAGTCTAGCACTTCTTGTCGCGCCAGAAGATGAGTTGCTCCTTTCCAATTCTTTTGACATGTCTGCGATCTCCTTCGCCCTTGCTGCGCGTCTCTGAGCCACAGTCTTCCTCTCCTGACTACAGAATGCCCACAGCAACTTTCGGTATACGTAGCTCACAAGAACGCGCCAAGCATACTGCCCATGGACGGACTGAAGATAGCGAACAACAATCGAGCATGGTAGTGTGTTGCCCTCTTCCGCTTCCTCACCTTCACGTTGCTCTTGTTCTTGTTCTTCCCGAGCAGTAAGGTCGCCGCCCTTCTTGTTTTTTCGACCACGCTTGCTTGTCCGTTTTGATTCTTCGGCCCAACGGGTCAAGTCCCAAGTCGGCAAGAAATTTTTCTCATCATGCCAGTACTTCTCTCTAAAAAACGCTTCTTGAGCAGCTAGCTCCTTCGGAACTAACAAGCCACGCAGGAACCGCCATGACCAAAGGAACATGGTAGTGAAGTACCAATACAGCGCGCCCACCTCTGCGATATCGATAGACAAACCAGCGCAAACAAAAGAAAGAGCGTGGAAGAGCAGGCTGAATGGAAACGGGATCCAGCTCCAGAGAGAGATCAGAGTGAAGAGATGGAAAAATGGAGATGTTGGTAATAAGGTTGCGTCATTGCTGTTGTAATTCTGGGCACCAGCACGCGTTGCCGCAGACGTCGATCCAAAAGCAGTTCCATTTGTGGTGGGTATTGCCGTAGTAGTCGAGGACGAAGTTTCTCCTGTACTAAAGGCCTTGAAGGAATAGAAAGAAGCTGCTTCCGCAGGAGCTCCTGTTCCAGCTTCGACGACGCTTCTGTCTATGTCAATAATGTACATGCTCTCCTCTTCTCTGGGTACAGTTCTTTCCACCAACCGGCTAAACCATGCCCAAAGACTCGGAACTATCACAAAAGGGTTGGCAAATCCATATTCGATTGACAGTGGGTACAACACATAATACTGTACAAAGCACTGGGCAACAAGAAAGGGCAAGAGATAGGCCACAAGAGATCTCCACTTTTTCTCCAGAGTGTCGACAACCAAAGTGCAGACTGGCGGAGGTAAAAAAGCTTCTTGACCACAGAAAGGACATAGGTGGATGGGCTCGGACGGAGGAGAGGCGGGCTTCCCAGAGTAGATTGCGAGAGGTTGAGACTGCTTGTCCTTGTGTGTGTTGCCGAACGGTCCGTGGTTATCAGTTGCTGCTTGCGGTGACCAAGATGAGGATGCTGAAGAAGAAGAAAATGAGGATGCTGATGATGCTGACACTACAGCTAATTCTTGCTCTTGCTGTGATGATGCGGGCCTTTCGCCATTTCCATTAGCAGCTTTTCTTCGAAACAAGATACTCTTTGCGTTGGCAATCAGAAGACCCCAAATTATCAAAAAGAATTCCCCGAGACAGACAAGGAGCGTGTCAATCGCCTCAATGCACTCAAGAGGATGCCTCACCGGGATGATTCTTTTGGTGGTGGGCTTGCTACCTCCTTTGCCTTTCATCACGCCTGCTGTCACGCTTTTCTTTAACCACCACCGCTCCAGCATATCCAGATGCTTGCTTTTCTTGTTCATCTTCGTAGGAAAAAGTATTGTAGTTCGTGGTTTCGAAGCGTCGTTCTCGGTGGTAGGAGATAGAAGTGGTAGTGGTTCAGAAGTGTCAGGCAAATCGCCTTCAACGTCCAAAGTCTCCAACGCTTCTCGCGGTAAAAAACTGTCACAGTCTTCCGTAGAACAAAAGCACAACAATCGCCCTGGTGCCTCAGCGTACTGCTTCGTCAACTCAGTGCCAAATTGGCCAGTCGTCAGATTGGAGATATACTGCTTGACACAATAGCGACAAAAGACATGGCCCCCAGACACACAGGAAACGCACTCTTCAGGACAAAAGTCGTCTGCAAAGCAGCACTCGCAAGTTAGGAAGTTGTTGTCTTTGTAGTGGAAAACTTCTGGTGGAGAGCGGAAAGGTAAGGATCCTCCTTCTAGAGGATCCGAACCAGATGAACAACTCCTCATTGTTTCCTGTGGAGGAGGCGTTCCCAGCAATGCTTCTCCTGTAGTTGTACGTGCTGGTCCCCTAGCCGTGCCATCTACACTCTCCTCTAAGCCCAGTCCTCCACCCGATTGCAAATCGTAATCGTGATGCTTTAATAGTTTCCTTGAAGACGCAGACACAGCCTGTGCCGCTAGCTCAGTCTCGAAAGCAGCAGAGGTTGGAGTCAGCTGCGAAACTTCTTTTGAAGAAGATGTGGCAGTGTCACCCAAACAAGCTAATCCTCGACTTCGTCGCTTACGGAGCTGATTATCTCCCTGCTGCATGTTGTGATCTTCGTCTCCTTGTGGACCAATAATAGTACTCGTGCTACTAGATCCTACTTCTGAAGAAGATTTCTCATTGTCAACATCCGTCTCCTGTGTCTTTTGACAACTAGACTCAGCGACTCCGTCATCATCGTCGTCTACATTTTGCAGAAATTCTTCCAATGTAGACGTGCGGGGATAGTTGTTCTTGGGGGCAATTCTTCTCTGACTTCGAGAACGCGGCTCCGAAGATGCAATACAACTCCCAGAACGCGGCTCCTCAACAACAACAGTCCCTTCTGCATAGTTCAGGCTTTTGTTCAAATCCATAGCAACTCTGTAGTCTTTTTGCGCTTGTTCTCTGTTGCGGACACGCAGAAGCGCAGCAGGCGTGCGTCTCAGATGTGATCGCCAGGATCGCGGAGACAGGTCGTGTCGAGGTATAGTACAATCATGTAAATCCACGACTAGTTGTGGCTGTTGTGATCCTGTATTTTGATCAGTCGCTGACGATGAAGAAGAAGAGTTAGAGCGCAACAAAAATTGAAGTTAATTTCTTGCTTTCATTTCTCCAGAACCCGAAGAAGCAAGCCGGAGAAAATGATCCTTCAAAATGAATTGCATCGAACCTTAAAAGAGGACGCTCCCCCTGAGGGACCACATTGTCCTTGTGTTTGCTGTTGTCCGACAGGTGTTTGGATACCACGCCCCGTTGAACTCGGACCAGCAGTGTTCCGTACTTGTTGATTTCCTCCACCGCCTCCAAAAATCCATCCAAAAAATCCCGCCTTTGCTTCCTGTTCCCTTGCCAGTCGCCTTTCCTTGATGGTTTTTTCGCGTGCAGTGTGTCGCTCCGCCAGAATCGCGTAGCAATCTGGCAAGTGGTAGTTGTACTCGGCTAGAACGTGTTCGATTTGTCTTGGGTACACACGTGGAAACTCGACTTTGCACCACTCCGCGATGCTCTTCATTTCCTCATTGGATTTCAACCCGTCACGGTCTAAGTCTAGAGCAGGACGCTGAGACTCGGTGCGTAGTGTGTTGTTTGTTCTGGTTTTGGAAATATTAGAAGAGCAGCGTGCCCCAATCGCAATCCATCTTGAGAAGCATCGTGGACCACCCTTTTCAGAAGTCTTCACCCTAAAAAGGAAGCCTGTCGTCCACTATGCTTCACCACGAGATCGATGCTGGATTTGGATTTGGAGAAGAAGCCTTAAGAAAAGGCGTGCCCGTACTAGCACACGAGGATGGACTTCCTGATGCTGATGAGGTGGGAGTATCAGCATTTTCTGCACTCGCAGTCCCTCTAGCCCGTAATCCAGCTGCAGCAGTGGGGCTATGAGTCACCTCTCCTACTATTGGTGGCGCACCAGCACCCAAAGTCATTGCGTCTTGATCGGCCTGATTAGCACCACCTGCAGCATTGCGCTTGCCCCCCGCTCCACCAAAGAAAAACTCAGCTATAGCATTGCGCTCTTGCCTCGCTGGCTCATTGAAGACCACCAATCCCCTTAGAAGAGCAGCCGGCGTACCTTCGATCGCTGAGTTAGAGCTACCGCTTTCCCATCCCTGAGAGCGTCCCTGACTCCTCTTTCAAGCAAAAAAAGGGCCAGGTGGGATGGCCCTAGGGATGCATCAGCGGTAGCCTTAACTGAGGCAAAAACTTCATCGGCTTCGCTGGCATCTCCTACAGGATTGCGATTGGTCAGTGCTTTGTTCCTACCATTACTTAATTGCTCTCCCAGAAAAAGCCCAAGTCTGGTCACTCGTTCGCCGAGGAGCAAGGAGGCAGCAACCGCGAGAGACTGCGTGCTTGCTACTACACTGCGTTTTGTTGGGATCGAAATCAAGGGAAACATGGAGTCGAGGGAGATTAGAAGTAGATACGGATCGATGTGTATCAAGAAAAGGCACCCGCTCTACTTGTTGCCAGGAAGTAATCACTTAGGGCCACTGAAAAACACGACCCAAATAAATCTAATGTAAAATGTTGATAAAATAAAAACCAATCCTCGCGTTTGTCGTGTTGACTTAGAGTGAATCTTTCTAAATTATCTACCACATCAGCTTTTCCCTTTGCCTTAACAGAACCAAGAGCCGATTTCTCGACACGACCTCCTCCACGCCGACGCTTGCTTCTAACTCATTTAGCTTAGAAATAATCCGCACATGTGTCTCTGGTAAAAACGGACCTGGAGGTTCCCAATATCGCCTATCACTTTCGTCAAGTAGCTCCTGTGCTGATGGTGGCCGTGCTTGTGGCGAAGGTGGCGGACCCTTAGATGACGCTGATGGCGAAATTCCAGGAAGATGCGTTTGCATATGATTCATCTTCATCCGCCAGACTCGTTGCCACGATTTTCTGATGAAGTCTTGATAGATTTTATTGTTCCGCTGCTCATCCAACATCGCCTGGACTTGGAGTACTTGTGCCTTAGTTTTAACCTCTGGATTTTGCAGAGGACCATCTCCTTGATCTTGGTCTGGTTGTGGTTGAAGTTGTCCCGGATGCTGCGCACCTCCTTGAGGACCTAGTGGAAGAACTACAGCACGTTGTCCACCAGCAACAGCAGGTGGACGAGGACGAGGCGTAGCGCCGCCGCGATAATCATTCTGCTGTTTCCAAAGTGGAAGATAGCCCTTCGCAACCCGGACAATTGTGCGCCGGATCTTAGCCTGTTGCCGTCTTGGCGTCGGAGGGCCTCTTCCTCCCCCAAGAGAGGCATCACAATAAGGCGTTGTTCCCGGCGGACTGAAAGTAAAGAGCAGCTTCCTCGATATGGAAGTAGCTCCTTCATCGTGCTGCTCTCTTTTCGGCACGTTGTGGTCTCCCGAAGGTTTGAAGGCTTCAATTAGAACCAACTTGGGAGAAATCTATCTTCAAACAAAGTCATCCTGTTGGTCCCGTTTCCCCTTTTTTTACACGGAGATGCACTACTTTCTCAGCATGATCCCCTTTACACGGAGATGCGTAGTTTCCCCACTTACACGGATGCCCTTGCACCGGAGAAACAACTCAAGATGCTCCTTCTGGAGATCGATGTATTTCCGAGAGCCTTAATTCAAATGTGTCGTTATCATAGTCATCGCCAAAGTGAGCCCTGACGGTAGCCGTCATATCGTCGAACACCACGATTGTTTGAACCCATTCTAGTCCCTCTGCCTTCATAGCTGCTGCTAGTAGGCAATTGATTGGAAGCATTCGTTAGCGCTCAACCTCTTCAATAGGACACCCCAAGACAGAGGATTCCTTCAACATTTCTGACTCACTTATTCGTCTTCCGTCCTTCATTTCCTCAAAATTTTTAGCGTAAGAGGGAAACAGAGCCAGAAGATACATAACAAACTAAGTAAGGACGGTTGGAAATTTATTGTGTCAAGGAGCCTTAAGCTAAGAGCACGGGAGGTAAATAATCTTGCGTTTGCGGTTGACCTCCCTGCTGTAGTTGCTGTAGTTGTTGCTCCTGTCTCCACACGTCTTCAACGAATTGCTCAAAGATCGCTCTTGACAGCACGGTCAAGTCTGTAGTTTCATCGTTGTCAGCGAGTGCGCGGATTGTAGCGCACACCTCCAGAGCTTGACTGCATTCTGCTGAGTTCAAGAACATCTTGTTCACATCAGTGGAAGAGGAACTTGCCCTGTTAATATAGATATTAGTGCTTCAAACACCAAACAAACCCTTCCCCGAGACGGCTCATCTGGATCGCCTTTCCTTCTTGTCTTCATCCTTCTTCCAGATAAGTCGCTTTGGAGATGGGCCTCCCACACCCTTAACGTTCAGTGTTTCCTGCCCAGCAGGCGTTGTGTTGTAGGTAGGATTTGAAGCCGGCGCACGTGGTCGCTGCGCGTGTCCGAGGGTCGTCCTGAAGCGATACGACCCCGCAGCCCGTTGATATATTTCTCGTTGACTCATACCGACCAATCGTACCCAGCCCAATCCCTGAGATGAAGCTGCACTGCCAGCTATCGTAGAGGAAATTGCAGCCAGTAACTGTGTCGAAAAAAAAATGTGAGCTCGTTGCTCCAGTCTCGAAAAGATCTGCACCAGCGAAACTGGATCAGGCGATCCTTCTGTTAGGAGAGTACTGAACAGCAACAAGAACAACTAAAACTAATTGAAATTCTTGTACCCATCTAAGTTTAAGTAGTACCCTTTTTCGAACTGTAACCGTTGTAAGTGCAAGCGCATGCTAATTGTGGTGCCCATCTAGTTGTAGTACTTTTGGAACTGTTGTAAGTACTACATCTTGATCTTTTGAAGGGTGCGCTAGTGTCTGAGTAGAAGAAACTTCGTCTGGTCGAGAGATGATGCTCACACCAGATGCAGAGAGCACACATTAGAAACATACTTATTTCAGAATCACTTCCACTGTGGCTGTGCAGTCACTGTCACAGATGAGTGCGCGAATAGCCGTAAGTCTAGCGTGAGGCAAACGTGACTGGCTTCTCGGTTATAGTCGGCAACCCTGAGAAACGGGGCATCGTTTCCAAGTGAAATCTGGACGCCGTTCTTGTTGATGTCAGATTCACGGTATTGCCCTCGAAAACGATCATAGTCAGGAAAGTCGCGATCTGACGCCCGTTCCGCTTCGCAAACAGCGCCGTCTTTGCTTCTTAGTTAGAATCAATAGTAGATCACTTACTAGTATAGGTCTCAACTCATTCATTCACTATTTGAATGATTCCCGAATAAGCTGCCGACTTTGTTCCTATTGTTCAGCTGTACTCGTGAAAATGAAACTGAAAGAAGTTATTTGTTGCTTCATCCTAACAAATTAATACAGAGCTGGTAAATCTTGAACGCGAAAACTCGTCGCGCACTTGCGTGCTTCATCAAAACCAAACTAGAAAATGTTCTTTCGTAAGTAGTATTCCTCTTCTTCAATGCCGCATTTCCAAAGACGATTCTGTATCGACCATTAGGTCTGTTAGTGGTGTCAGTTAAGCGCAGAAGATTGGCATACTCAAGCTCTTCCGGTCTTTCTTTGCCATTTAGTTGACGGTCTAGGCGATTGAAAAAAATCGGTGAGAAGTAGACAAGTGTAGGCCCACCTTCTGGCGAACGTACAGGCGATCGCAATGTATTGTCCGCAGCATTATCTTGATGAGGTAGAGGACGAGACTGCCCAGCTGCTTGTCCTTGTCTAGGAGGTTGTTGAGGCTGTTCCCCTTGTTGAGGTCGTTCTCGTCCAATCTCGTAGGCCCTCCCGTCTTCAGCAATGGCGACATTGAATCCACCATTTCCTGCGAACTCAGGACCACGACCGAAGAGATTTGTTGCATCTCTGGACAGAAGCTTCGTTAGAAGAGTTGTGTGACGACCCAATCCATTTTGCGACGTATCTATGAAGGGCCTTCCTTTTGAAGCTGGGATTATCATCTCCAAAGGCATCCTTTCCCCTTGAGAGCAACCAAGCTCCTTCAGGATGCCTTATCGGATGTCTCGGATTTGATAAGTAGATAAATGGATCGATTAGGGGAATAGAGCCGTAACTTCAGTGGCACCTCCGCATGCACAAAAGCTCGCACCGTACATAGGACCCAACCTTTCGGCACTTGAGGATAGTGCTGACAGTAGAACTCAATGGCTCGCTTTTCACTGGGATCGTGGATTTTGGAGAGTTCGTGCTGCAGCTGAACGTCGTAGGCGGGAAGAGGCGAACTGGCGGAAGAGGAGGCGCCCGCGCCGCCAATAGCAGAGGATGACGTGGTGTTGTGATTGCCCATGTTGTTTCTTACTTTTGCAGCGTCATTGATTTTCTGTATTAATGAAGGACACAGTAGTTTGAGCTTTTAATCATGATCGTTATGTTTTATGTATGATTGACATCCCAGCGGTAAAGACGAAAAGGACTTCTGAAGCGAGAGAAATGACACGACTACCACAAGAGGAGCAGCCTTACCTTTCAACAATATTTATAATGATAACAGGATGAGAAAGCGAAGTGTTAGCCTCACATACGAGTATTATGTAGATGCGTGCATAAGTATGTCCCTGCGGCCAACCTTCTTGATGACCGTAGAGAGACGTGATGTGGATCATGTAAGTGCAACAATGTCAAACGATTTCTAGGATGTTAGGTGCGAAGAAACTCTTTGGGGTAAACTGCCTGCGTGTTGGGTTTTGAGAGGAGAGGACTCAATCATGATTCGGATGAGATGAAAGGGTGAGGTTACAGGCGTCGGCCCACCGGGAAAAGTGGCAGACATGAATGGCTGCTGAAGAGCCAAAGACGATCCTACGACTACATCTTCCCTTTACTTACTCTGTCATATCAAGTACTTACTCCTCCGACCTGTCTTATACCACATGCTCCTGCGCTTCATTAAGCAAGTCGAGTAAGTCTATACATATAGATACTATCCTGTCTCTCTTATCCTCTAATCTCTCAACTACAACTGCAAGCATTTCTCATTGTACGTTCCGCTTCCGCACGAGCCGGCGCCGTATTCTATTCAATTCGGTGCTCTTTTACTCATTCGAATTCATTCATCTCGGCCTGCCCTCATCCAGGTTAGGGCAGTTCTCTTATTCTACTTCAGTTACTCGCTGCACGACTTTCGTTTTTTACATTCAGTCGTCCTAGTACTTACAACGTACATAAAACAAAGACGAAGATCTAGATCATCCTTAATCTCTACTGCTACAGTAAAACACGATAGTACACTTGACTCGGTTTTGATGGTACACATGAGCACCGCGACCACGACGACAGTACTGGAGGCAAGGATGACTTTTAGTAGATATCAGATTCACGCACACTAGAGTAGAACGAACAGGAACAGAATAGACTTCACAAACACAACAGGGGCCACAGTGACAGCTGTCGTTGATCAGGGAGATGTCGTTGGGCTTTGGAACGTCAGCACATGTAAGATACGCGAGTCCGCTCGTCCTTTCACCTTACGGGCGAGTGACTTCTCTTCTTGATATAATGGCTTCACTGGTTTTCATCTTGTCCGCCTCTTTATTTGTTGCTAGAAGATTGGTGGAAGCAGCTTCATCTTCTTGCGATTGGAAAAATGGAAATTCAAATTGCACTCGTTACGCGCTGAAACAGAATCAGAATCTACAGCAAGCTATACTTTTGATTTTGTGGCCGATCCACTTTCCTACCAGTAAACAAGTCGAAATGTTGGGATTGGGAAAAGTAGAATAAAGTAATAAAAGGGAATTGTCGTTGTCGTGCGTGACGTCAGCGTGCTAGACATTTATCGTTTCTAGTACTACTTTCACGCCATGGTGTGCATTTTTGGCGATGTCTGCCGCTGCATGGATTTTTGCTGGTATGGCCTGAGTCTGTAGCTGTACAAGAAACAGTAAGTACATCGTTAATTTCATCAGCAGGGTGCAGCCTGTTTTAGACACATTGCGATCACGCAACTCCGTGTCGGCCCTGCAGCTAATTTCGTCAGGAACTTCTTAACTTGAGAGATCTTCTGCTGCAGTGTTAATGTGGTTAGTGTTGAGCTTCGCATCGCTAAATAACTTGTCAGTACCAGTATCAGGAGTCTCAGTAAGAAAGAAAGTAAGTCAGTCAGAAAACAAAAACCGCTTAGTACATTAGGTTCCGTCGGTCGCAGTGCATCTAAATCGCACATCAGAGAGAAAGCCACCCCGTAAAATCGAATCGGTGCAAAAATTTCGTCACTGCGTTCTCCTTTTCGTATCCCCATCTCACACACCGTCCCATCTCACACACCGCCCCATCTCCCACCACGTCACCCAGAGTCAGCTCAGCTTTTCCAGAGTCTCAGCCGTTCATGCAATATCAGTCTTCCCTGAAGCTGCCATGGCCAGCAAGGTTTCATCGTCTGGCTCCGGTGGATCTGCATAGTCTTCGTAGAACTGTAACTGTGGATGCGTCATCAGTTTGTGGGGATGTTAGAGGAAGAAAGCAGCTACACTGTAGAAGTGGGTAAAAATGGGATCTTTCTTGAGTTTTTTTTTTGATGACTTACTGCTACGGCTACCAAATAGGATGACCGACAACGAAGCGTGGTAGATGGAGTACAGCTACACTGTCTTCTTTTGATGGAGGTTTCCCTCTTATCCACATCCACACTTTTTCTCTCTCTCTCAGTCGTCCTTGATGTCGTAAACTTCCTGCATCTTGTCATGGATGGCGCCGACTTTGAGTTTCGAGTATCCAGCTTCTTCTCGTTCTTTGATTAAGGCCTGCTTCTTGTTTTCCACGTGATCCACCAAGGCTTGGAGGGCCAGTGGTACTGGTGCACGGTCTCCGTAGCCTTCACGTGGGGGTTAGAGGTGGGAGGTGGCCGTGAGAGGGCGATGGCGAGTGTGAAGCTCACCAAATTCTTCTGCTGAATGTCTAAGAGTAAGAAATAGGCGAAATGGGCACTAACATCAAGGAGGAGGAGGTAGCGTTTGAGTTTGTGCCATAATGTTGACTCGACACAGTGTGTGGCTTTGGTTGTTTTCTCCATGCGATACCCGCTTCGTAGGCCACGAATTCACCTCTATCCACTACCCGCTCGCCACGTTTGAGCACGTATTCGTCCAAGGTCATGATCACTTGATCCCAGGTATCGAATTCGAAGTCTTTTCCGAGAGTTTTTAGAGCTCACCCCGATCCATCTTGACGCGCATCTTGCTTGGGGGCTCTTTGCCCTTGAGAAGCCTCTTCAGGATGCCGCAGAAGATGGATAAGAGTCGGCCTTAAAATGTCCCTAGCTCTTGCTATCTCCAGGTGGTGCAGGCCATGCTGGTTGGAGACCGAAGCTGCGTAGAGAAGACGCAGTATGCTGTCGGGCTCTAAACGACATTCACTCGCGATCACGACTTTTGGCCGTTAGAGGGGATAGATTCCGTTTATCAGAGTGGCGACGCAAAACATGCAAGAGCGAGGGTATTGGGGAACTCAACTCAAGTAGTGCTACTTTCGGACAAGACCCCATCTCCAACATCTCCATATTCATTTGATTTCCTTTGTAATAAAATAATATTAAAAGGCCGCACGATGAAGCCTGAGTATGAATGATAGGAAGAAGAGCCTATAGAGATCAAGAGCGGCCTCACGCGAGCGCAAAGAGCAAGAGCGCAGGCATGGACATGTGGCCGCCGTGGGACTACCCACGCTGGCACAGCATGACGAGCCATACCAAAGAACTCGGAAGGAAACCACGACGCCAAGCTGGCCAGCAACAAGAGCAGTGAACGCAGGCACGACAATCAAGAAACACTCACACAGACAAGACCAAACAAAGACAAAAACCATGCTCTTAAAAGCAAACACGGCACGAGCCTGCCAAGGCCGTGACAACGCGCACAAGCGCGAACAACGCTCCACAAGCACAAGGGAAGGATGGAGAAGGAAAAAGATGCACGAGCATCGCAGCGAAAAGGCTCAAAGCCGAAAGGAGAAACAGCCAGTATATGAACAAACAAACAATCACCAAAAGCGCAAAGGCTTACTAAACTGCGGAGTTATAGGGCCTTCTCACTCCGGGCCCACTAGCACAGCTTTCTACATACCGAACATATCAGCAGCGATAGCTTTCCAATTATTCCACCGAAAATGAACAGCGTCTAAAGGTGCTATTGGGATGGCTTTAGACGTCTCATCATGTCAGTGACATGATGCCACTGAATTACTAACGGTTCGAATTCTGACTCGTCCGCCATACAAATAAGGATGCTCCTCTATCAGGGTGCAAAGAGCATCGATAGGCACGCCAGGCAGGAGGTCATGGAATCTGTCGTAGTCCTCATCTTTTTCATGAAACATCAAGTCGTTCATTTTCTGCAAATTTACCCTCTTCGCTGTTGCGACTGCATCGGCGTAGCGCGTTACTTTCTCGCGGGGGAGATGAAAAGGGGTGCGTCAGTTGGAATAATGCAGTGCATGATCCAGACTAACGAAATTGCTTTTACGACTGGGTGATCGACATCTTGGCCGTGTCTAAACCTCTGGCGCCACCCTCATCCTACTAATAGGCGCGACAGACATTAGATATGATCTCCATTTCGTGTTCTCTTCCATAATAGTGACTCCCAGGCGTCGGATTATTGATACTCGACAATTCCGTCATGCCTCTACTTGTCGCTCTACTGTTCGTCCTAGACGTTCCTCGCATCATGTGCATATGCTCTTTTGTGTGCGCTTGAGGAATAGACACAGTTACCTCGTCTCCGACTTTCTTCTCCTCTTCATCATAGATTTCGTCCGCTTCGTCTTGCGGCACTCTCTCTCCTCGTCCGGCTGAGCTTGGTCTTGTTCTGCTTTTCGAGGGGCTGTGAGAAGACCCAGCAGTGGAGACTCGCTTAGTCGATCCGGCGGTTGGGGCACGTTTACTGGAAGAGGAGGAGGGGACGGGAGTTAGAAGGGAGAGGACTGAACCTCGACAAGGTCGAGCGACTGACAAGAACGGCAGAAGAGTAAGAGACGTCGAAAGCAAAAAGAGAACTACTTCTGGTACTAGATCTGGAAATATTTAAGTATGATGACGCCCACCCCCACGCCATAAAGGACCATCCACCAAGTTACCCGCCGACAGTCTCCTTTGCGGCCTCAAGCCTCCACTTATCATTGGATGAACGTTCGGCTCGATCTCCAATGGCACTACGTCTTTCGTCGCTGACCCGAATTCCCATCTACTTGCATCTGAGACAGCCCCTACCGCGATACCTATCGGACCTCGATCTTCCTCTTCCTCTTTGATCGTGTCTTGTCTGCCTACTAGATTCGAAGCAGCATCAGCTGTGTGAGTGCCACCCATATGGTTATGGGAGTTTTCGCGGAAAACGCCTTCTCCTATTACGTTGTGGCTTGCACTACTGTCAGGACGAGCGTCGTCTTCGTGTTCGCTACCTGAGTGTCCTCCCAAAAGCTCCTCCTCCATCCTGGCATCCACAAATACCCTGTCATTCTCCATTTTCCCACGGCCACCCCTCTCCATAATCAGCTCCTTGAGGCGTTTGTGGCCTTCGCGGACGATACCAGTTAGGTCCAAAACCATGAGGTTCGGACACCTGAGCGCGACTACCCTCAAAATGTTTGTGTCCACGTCTGCGCAATAGGAAAGGCTAAGATACCGGAGTCGGGTTCCATAGTTTCCGTAGAGTGCTGACGTGAGGAAGTGGCTACTTCCGTAGTTGAAGCACAAAGGATGGAACTTGCAACAGATCGGGAAAGCTGAGATTAGAAGAAGGTCTTTGCAGTTGTTTCTTCAGCGATTTTTCGACCGTTGACGAAGTGACTGACTGAATCTAAAGCAGAACTGCATAAACAGATTCCGCTTAATCAATGCCAAAGAGCCACGGGATCAACTACAGGAAACAACTCAAACAAGCCTGCCACTTCCCCTTGTTCATAACGTCAGGATCAGATTGCTCTCGTGGATCTTGTTGTTAAAATGCAGACTCAACTGCAAACTGTGATAGCCGGCAGCGACCTGGTCAAAATTCCGCAATTTCTCCGTCACCGTCCATTTTGGCGGTCCCCGCTTTTCCTCTTCTAGAATGCGGCCCAGCTCGTCGGTTAGAGGATAGCAATGGGCTGGCACTACGGCTATGGCTATGCGCTTCACTCATTCTAATGGGCGTTGGTTCGTAGTGCTACCTGGTCCAGTGTTGAAACATAACTCCAATTCTTTCTCCCTCTCTCTTCGCGCTGCCTCGGCTGCCTCGTCTTCAGCTTTCTTTCTCTTACGCTCAGCTCTGGCTCCCTCGTCTTCATCGTCGTCGCTAGAAGAAGAACTGGCTCCACCCATGGCTAAGGGTTAGAAAAAGATGAGAAACTCGCTAGAAGAAGAACTGGTTCCACCCATGGCTAAGGGTTAGAAAAAGATGAGAAACTCGCTAGAAGAAGAACTGGCTCCACCCATGGCTAAGGGTTAGAAAAAGATGAGAAACTCGCTAGAAGAAGAACTGGCTCCACCCATGGCTAAGGGTTAGAAAAAGATGAGAAACTCGCTAGAAGAAGAACTGGCTCCACCCATGGCTAAGGGTTAGAAAAAGATGAGAAACTCGCTAGAAGAAGAACTGGCTCCACCCATGGCTAAGGGTTAGAAAAAGATGAGAAACTCGCTAGAAGAAGAACTGGCTCCACCCATGGCTAAGGGTTAGAAAAAGATGAGAAACTCGCTAGAAGAAGAACTGGCTCCAGCCATGGCTAAGGGTTAGAAAAAGATTAGCCATAATTGAGACCCGAAGGAAATCGAAATTTACAATAAAGAAGGTGAGGACTACGCCATAAGCCAAAAACGGGTTCACTTCCGTGATTTTCGCAGCCTCTGGCTCCGGCTCCGCTGGTGGTTCCGGATATTCCTCATATACCACTTCCCTCTTGAAATCCCACTTGTAGAGTACCTGTTGCTCTGGTACTGTAGCCATTTCTGCATTAGCAGGACTACCTGGCGCAGCTGTAGGCTTTTGGTCTCCTCCCGCTGAAGGAGGACTAGCGGCACCACCAAGGGCACTGGCACTAGGGTTCGTTCCTCCTGTCTCTGGAGCACCCGCACTACCTCCACCGGCACTCGCGCCACGTCTTGGCTTCTCGTAGTTGTAAATTTCGCCAGTTTCCTCGTTCACTTCGTACATCTTGCCATCGATTTTCACAAACACCGGTGGTCGCGGTTCGTCGTAGTGCATAACGTCGAATTTTGGACAACGGTGTGGCAGAGAATACAAAAAGTCCTCCTCTTCCATGAAGCGACCAAAAGCGCCTTCGTTATGGGCAAACTTTTCCATAGAGTTCCAACAAGTTTCGACGTTGGGGAAATCGAGGGGAGGGCAAAGAGTCTTGATGGGGACGTCGACCCAGCCTGAGGCGGTTTGAGTGGGGAAAAGGGCGTTTGAAGGGAGCGAAGTTTTGCTTGCGACAGGCGGTTTGAGTGGGGAAAAGGGCGTTTGAAGGGAGCGAAGTTTTGCTTGCGAGAGTGGAGATGATGATAACATTTTGTAGTACGTAGCAGTAAGCCCGTTGTAAGAAAAAGTATACTTAGGTGTAATGTAGCTCAACTGCCCCACCTCTACAATACCTTTCAAATAAACCGGCACCGGATCCTTGTGGACAACCCACCCTGACTCAAGCAACGCGCTTTCGCATATGTTATAGAGTGTCACGACAACCCGCTTGTTTTCTCGAAACTCTCGAAAGTCGAAGTCTGGAAATGGGATTTTCTGTAGCTCCTTCAAATCTCTTCCGTAATTCGCCAGAGCCGTCAGCTGCGATATCTTGTCGAAATATTTTACCATTTCGTTTAACCTGTCATCGATGTGGCGAAGGTTAAGATTAGGACTCTATTACTTTATAGGCTATTGCCTAGCGTGAATAAAACTTCTACCAGAATCAGAGTGAGGATAGCGATAGTCATACAACCATGGCAGCGAGTCTTGCCTTTCTTCCCACGGCGACAAAGTAGCTAGCGACTCCGCCACCGTCTGCTTTTTCTTCGCCAATCCATCGTCTTTTCTTCTTTGCGCCTCATTCTGCTTCTCTTGCAGCCGTCGTCCTGGACTCAGGCACTTTCTGTCGATGCTTGCTCTCATGATCCGGTCTCGTTCGAGCTCGAACAGGGATTAGCGAAAGATGAAGATGCTACTTTCTAGACATATAACTTCTGCACACCGAACTAACCTTAGCCTATCATCCCATATCGACATAATCAACCCTGTCATGCAGCTCTTCTCGTGCTGATGGCGTCCTCAGCTCAGGGTACCGCTCTATGAGTTCCTTTGCCAATCGGTCGGCTTTGCTGTCTCCCGTTTTGCGCAAAGGTGAAGGTGACCGGTCGGCATCGGTGAGACGTTTCTGTTCGTTAGAATATGGTCAGAGGTATTTTTGGACAGATCTTCCTTGGCAGTGAAGTTCTTGCACTAGTACTAGTGGTCGTGGTGTCACGTATGAAGAAAGAAGACAACCAAAACACAGTTCAAGTGCCTGCTCCTCCTTCTCCCGCATTGCAGCTGCCATCGCGCCTGGATCTTTTTTCTCGCGTTTCACGATCAGAGAAGTGAATGCTCCAAATTGGGCTTTGTTGCTCTTGGGTGGTCCTTGGCGGATTTTCCTCTTCTCCAAGGCCTCCTTATCCAACACAAAACTGTTGTCAAAAAGGGCCTGGCTTGCTGCTGCCGGCACGACAGTAAGCTGCAGTGGCAAACGCGAGTCGTCCATCAATAAACGGACAATGGACTCTAGAGCACAGACAGTCTCGACTTGTTCTCGTGGCGGGTCTTTGCAGGGGGCTTGAAATTTTCCTTCCGCGAAGAGGGGGATCTGTATTTTGTCGTGTTCTTGCACGGACAAGAATTTCACTTGTTGGCCTTGGTCTACTTTCACACGTGTCACGACCTTAAATCACTCCTGTCCAGCTGCAGCATCAGAGAAAAGCCCGCAAATGTATCAAATTTGCGTTTATGAAGACAAACATACAGTATGGATTTGTATTGAGTCTATGAAGACAATCGCAAAGACTGATACTGATAATTACCTTCCTCTTTATAAGCCCATTGACTATGTTTTTCCATGCCCAATCCTCTGCGATGTCCTCGAAGCAGCGACGAACGACTTGTCTGAAGTAGCTGACCTCTTGGTCATCAGACATTTGCTCCGTGTCATGACGTAACCAATTGTCTGGCGCTACGCTTATGGTGCCGTCCGGTCTCAATCGGAATCGATCGATCACCATTCGCTGGACTGGGAAATTAGCGGGAACTCTGTAACAGGTGCAGGTGCAAGCACTAGTAAGTAGAAGTACCACTATCACGAGTACCAGGGAAAGCAACTTCGTCAGACGATGAAGACGAAAGTGAATCATAACCATATACAGCCACCAGCGCATGTGTAGAATCTTCGCCGCATCCTTCCTCTCATGCGCCAAAAACGCGTTTCTTGCTCTTGTCTCCACTTTGTACACTATCGGCAAATAGTCTTCCATCCGTTCGCACACTAGAGCCTGTCTTCGCCACATCTCGACGGACACTCTGCAATCTTTGCTGATTTTGTACAACAATGGCTTCTGTTTGGCGGCTTCCACCTCGTCCAGAGATGGTATCCACCTGTACTCCAGTAGCTTCGCCACATCCTCGACAGCCTCTGGCCCATTTGCCCACTGATGAGGCAAGCGCCGCTCGCGGGGGAGGTAAGGTGGGAATGAGAGGAGGTAAGGTGGGGATGAAGGAAACTGGACGGGAACTAAGGGGGGGACAGTCGCCTACGAGTTGAAAAATGTGAACTTCATCTGTGCAAGAAAAACTATTCTTGCACGTCATGAACCTGAACGTGAGCTCATGATTGGTGCATCTGAAAAAGAAGGACCTGCTCTTCATACATCTTCAATAAGGAAAGCCCCTGCTTGCACCACGAGCGGATGACGGGAACATAGTTTCGAAAACGCTCCAGTCCGTAGGTGGGCCTTCGGATCCTCTGGCAAAGCCATGGTTGCTTACTGCTATTTTCTTTACTACCTAGCTACTCATCACATCCTTTGCAAACTCATAGTTGGAAACAAAGGGTTTCTTCAGCATGGCTTCCTGCTTCACCTACAAGCGCAACCACGCTCGTTTTTGGCTACTATGTGAACATGGGTCACTCTTTCCTCCATTTTTTTTTTTCCGCTCATGGACAGCCAGTTAGACTTTTACACACGTCGGCCGCGCTTCTTGCTCCGTTTTCGCGTTGCTTCTCTCCATGAAAACCAGCATAGGCGCCCACGCACCCGATCGACGCACGCCTCGCCGGGGAGCGATCATCATCAGCATGAAAGACAATGCGCAGTCGACGAGAGGAACTCACCCACGGCTAAGCAAGACTGCTTGCATAGAAGTAAAACGCTTGCTCGCTAAATTTTGCTGCCATCATAGAAGAGTTTTGGGGACGAGTGTTCCGATGTTAGTCGAGTTTTTGCGTTTGAACTTGAAGTAGTTTGTCTGTGCATCTGTATCCTTGACAGCTAGTCTAGAATGAAAATTAATATCGAGCAATAAGTACATACTGTTGACATCATTTTGACGTAGAACTAGAAGCTCTGGCGCTTTGACCATTATGAGATCTAGTATTCCTATTATTCGTAAGTAAGTAGTTACCTCAGTAAAAGCAACAATGCTGAGGGAAGAATACTATCGACTCATCAATCGCGTTCGCTGATGGACCATGAAGGGCTCCTGTGTGCAACAAAATCAATATCGAACTTGTAGCAGTCATGCAAACGATGACTGTTGCAGCAGTATGTAAAGTTCAACTTATCAACTTCTAGTCAGTGAATGATTGGAATGATGATGAAAAATGTTTAGCTAGATCTCGATCTCCTTTACCGTGATAGCCTCATAGTGCATGCTCCTCTGTTGAAGCTTTCGCGTGAATATCACTTCCCATCATCTTCTTCTACTCGTAAAAGAAGCATTTTGATCCTGTTCTTTCCGTTCAATCATTATTATCAAGATCATTTCTCAAATTTGTGGAACTGGTTGCACCATCGTGTCCGTGCATCCATTCCTTTTCCTTGTGGAACTGGTTGCACCGTGTTCATCGTGCATCCATTCCTTTTCCTCCTTAGTCGCTCGTCGCACTACTCGTCGACAATCTGCGCTGCAACTGTCTTTTCAATTGCACTCCTGGTATCTTCTGGTCGATGTTGCAGACCACCCTTCCTTTTTCGTTTGGGGCAGAGTTGGTCTCGACGAAGTGCACCAGGTCGAAATCGACATCGGCTGATCGCATGTTGGCGTACTTCTGATTGTCGCTCATGATTAGCGTGTGCTAGAATGCATCTCGGTCCCCCTCTTCGTGGCTCCTTTTAGTACCTTGTATTATTCATGAGAAGAATACAGGGGAACAAAAGGGGACCAAGATGTATTATTCATGAGAAGAAGATGAATACAGGGGAACAAAAGGGGACACTAAATGTTGCCGAGAATGATGGACACTAAATGTTGACCATAACATGAAGTAACTCGGGCACATCTTCGCTGCTCGCCAATCCTTCTGTGCTGTGAGATAGGTACTGTAGTGTTCCGCATTTAGCCCTTGTTGCGCTGTTGGAGTAGCGGCGCCACTTTTGTCGTCCTCGTCTAGTTTGGCTCCTGTGGCGCCATCTAGTGTTGTCAAAGGTGTTCTGCCGGCTTTTCCTGGACTGCAAGCGGCGACACAAGCGCTCAAAAAGGGTCCAAAAGCTTGTCCGAGGATGAGCTTGACCAAGGAGAGGACCAGGTAAACGCAGACGAGGAGGAGAAGGAATGAGGATTAGAGGGTCCGACGTTGTTGTGGTGGAAACAAGTATCAGCCTCGAGAGGAGAACGAGAAGCTCTAGTAGAAGCAAGAGGAAGAGGACGAGAAGCATCCTCGGACAAGAAGCGAGAAACTAAGTACTCCGGACAAGAAGCGAGAAACTACTCAGTGTCAATATATATATGGGTGGAGCCAAGCTAACTAGGTAGGAAAAGAAAAAAGAAGGATAGTAGGTAAATATAAATATAATCAAAGGCTCGACGTCATCCGTCCAGCCATAAAGATAAGGTCAATAAATATCAAAGGCTCGTCATGAGTCCAGCCATAAAGATAAGGCACTCCAGCCCCCGCGAGGGACCGTTCAATCAGTGTCAAAAGCGGTTTGACTATCGTTGGCGTGTTCTCTGCAAAATCGTGGTCGAACTCGAGGACTGGATTAGACGGAAACACAGCAGGATTCCCCAACATCCAGATCCCAAAGACGGCGTGTAGGACCATAGCGTACGGGACCACAGATAAAGCTGACGAAATCACCTGCTCGTCGTACGCTGCGGGACGTCTGCATACACGAAGCAGAAGATACTTGTCGCATAAGTAGCAGAGGAGATGGTTACCGGTGGCGAACCTGTCGTGGTGGACAATGCACGAGGGATCATGCCTTGTGAGATATGAATATCAACAATAAAGTCTGAATGTGATGATGGTCGTCTAGGTCTATGATCATGAAGAATCTCTACGTGAACGTGTGGGAGACGAAATGAAGGGGATGCCTGAAAAGAGATATCTAAAGTTGTTTACCATACTAGCACAGGACATCCCGCCGCGAAGCATAGACTCGAGAAAATGGTATTCAGAAGTGCTCCGCATCTTGGTGCTAACTCGAATTCTGGCGCTTCGTAAGCGTTTGCTACTGCTTCTTCCGTGGACGCTAAGCAGGAGCCCAAGCAGCAAGCTTTGCAACTGTTTGCAAACGACACGGCCACTTGGATCAAGTGCGGAGATGCAACGTTGATCATCAGTGTCGTTGATACGGATAAGCCAACGGTAGCATACCAATGATGCGTGAAATCGCCTTGGTCACCCTTCAGGATCTCATTGATGGGCCACATCCATTCCAGATTGAGGAGGAAGACGATCACGGCAGTATTCAGGAATAAGGAGATGAAGACCTGAAGAATGTCAGGAGGAGAGTTCGTGAAGACCTGAAGAATGTCAGGAGGAGAGTTCGTGAAGACCTGAAGAATGTCAGGAGGAGAGTTCGTGAAGACCTGAAGAATGTCAGGAGGAGAGTTCGTGAAGACCTGAAGAATGTCAGGAGGAGAGTTCGTGAAGACCTGAAGAATGTCAGGAGGAGAGTTCGTGAAGACCTGAAGAATGTCAGGAGGAGAGTTCGTGAAGACCTGAAGAATGTCAGGAGGAGAGTTCGAGAAGACCTGAAGAATGTCAGGAGGAGAGTTCGAGAAGACCTGAAGAATGTCAGGAGGAGAGTTCGAGAAGACCTGAAGAATGTCAGGAGGAGAGTTCGAGAAGACCTGAAGAATGTCAGGAGGAGAGTTCGAGAAGACCTGAAGAATGTCAGGAGGAGAGTTCGAGAAGACCTGAAGAATGTCAGGAGGAGAGTTCGAGTAGACCACGTCGAGCCTTCGTCGACGAGGTGTTGTAGTCAGTAAGTACTTTTGTAATCATGAGGAGGGATGTTGACATCAAACAAGAACTAGACAGTACTACAAAATCTTCTTCTTGACTCTAGAGAAAGTTCTTGTACCTTCAACGCAATCGCACACTCCAACCCACTGAGGGTCAATCAATGTTGACTCTAGATGAAGTTCTTGTACCTTCAACGCAATCGCACACTCCAACCCACTGAGGGTCAATGGCCTCTCAAATTTCGCCAGCGCCACCAGAAGGCTCTTCAAGATAAAGTTGATTGCCACGACTAAGACTGAAGACGCTGTTGTCACCGCAAACATCAAAACTTGTTTGTCGTAGAAGTCCTGGCAAGCTGTTTTAACGTCTCCGGTCATAGAGGACATGCCAATTTTGGCACACTCGCAATCAGTGAAGTGGTTCTCGAGGGCGGGAGCTCCTGGAGCGTTCCTGGATTAGAAGATGACGAGACGGCGACATGATGTCATTTTGACCATGTTGTTGTCATTTTGATTTTGACCGTTTGATAAAAGATTTAAACTACTAAGACAAGGAGCACAGTAGTTTTAGACTCATTTACTACTTTTTTCTTAGTTGTTGCGCCATAAACGATATTCGCCTCCAAATAAGCCTTCGCCGTTACTCCGTCTAAGACCACAGTATTCGGTGGATTCGAATCGCGGGTGTAGATGATCTCCGCGCAGTTCTTTCCTTCGGCCTTCTCAGTCTCGTTTTTCTGCGTTTGCTGAGACCATAGGATGCCAGCAGTGGAAATCAGCAACAAGATAAAGACTAGTAGTTTTGTATGACAGGAAAAAGTATACTAATACTCAAGAAAAGAGGCAGCTTCCTACTTAGGGAGCACCTATGGTCTGGAGGATGAGCACCAGCACACTTTTTCCCCTCATATTTCGTGAATCCTCTACGACAGGCACGCTCAATTGCCGGACAGTCCTGATTCTCCCACAGGATGTTGGAAGGCTCTGGTGCTGGAGCCAAACGGATTCGCTTCAACCCTCGAAATCTCAATCGCTTCGACTGGAACAGGTATCCCAGGCTTAACTGCGACATTCGGTAGGCGTCAAGCAAAAGTTCCTTGTCCTGAGCTTTGTTGCACACGACGTAAGCGCGATAGATCGGGCGTTCAATGGTTGAAGCAAATTTTTCCTCATCAGCGCGCCGCTTCTTCTTCTGCGCCAGCAATTTTCGAGCTTGCGTGTGCAGCTTCTTCAGCTTTTTGCCGTCGGCGTGGCAGATGAAATCAACTCAACTTCTGCTGGTGGATAGCTTGAAAAATCTACCACTACATACTTTCAATCATCGCTCTGCCACATGATCAGCCAGCTTGTTCCAGCTTGTTGTTGGAATGTTGAGCAGGCATCAACAACAACATCAACTACAAGATGCCTAAAAATGTACTTCTTGCTACTTCCAGGAGAGTTACAATATCCTTGGCCATACCTAAGGTCGCCTCCACGATCTCCGTTTTCAATTTTGCTTGACTCGCATGTTCCGCCAGTCGTCCCCCGTAGTCACGAGCGAAAGAGATCTCTGGAAACAGATTGTCTGGTTCGTTCTCCGCATCCACTACGCTCTTGTCAACCTCTTTATTAGCTGTATAAGGACCTTCTTCTTAGAGCTTGCCCAGATTCATGTTGATGGTCTGTGCTCCACTTCGAGAGGAAAGCAAAGAAACAAAGATGTCTCTTGACAGGATGAATCTATCATACATTTAGGGAAAGAAAGAGTCTTAACCTTCATCTCCCAAATGTGCCGCACGTTCTTCCAGCAACACTTTCGCAAAATGCTTCTTCAACTCAGCTTCGAAGTCTTCGGGTTTGAGCGATTCTTGGTCAAAAGCTGGCAGTTTGTCCAGTAGAAAGGCGAAATCAGCAGGAGTGATGGAGGCAGCATCAAGGGCTTCAGCGTCGCGTGGGATTTTGCGATAGACAAACCACATCACGTAGACGAAGTACATCCCTGCACCAAAGGCGGAAAGGAGTGACATCCAAGGAGTGACGTCGACCATGTACTCTTTGCTTCCCTCAGATTAGACATGGAAGACTCTTGTTCTCGTTCGTTACAAGAACAGGTAAAAGTAGTACTGCTGAAGATTACAACTGGACGATCTAGAAGTAGTTCATGCCGTGTCATTGTTCTTTGCTGCAGCTTGTACTAGTTGATGTACAAGAACTTCTACTACTAGTGATCATTTAGTGTAGTTGGTCGTTCCTTGTGCCATAACAAAAGTCAATCTTTCTCTGTGTCGGATGAGGCGAGGCCTCCAAAGAAGAATCTCCAAAGCTGGCAAGTGACAAAACCGCTAAGAAGCCTACACCATGTTCATCGTCACTATCTCCACTTGGAGAAGCACATCCCAGAACCACGAAGAGCAAGAACAAGGACCATACGCCAAGGAAGAAAGCGCCGCCACGAAGAAAGCTGAAGTATAGGCTATTAGAGGTGAAGAACGTATCTGTTGAGGTGAGGCTCTCAGGATATCATTATCAAGACTCTGCTAGACATATTTCAGGATGCATAGTAACCAAACAAGAACAAATCTTCTTGCCTTAAATTGTATCCCCAAACTTTGACTCAACTCTCCGATTTTCTTGCTGTCAGCCTGCATCCAGTTTGGACGTTTGGCTTTTTGCGCGCCTGCGTCTCCTGCGCCGTCCTTCGAGGTTAGGGAATTACATTCTTCGGAACATCTACATCCCTGATTTATTTGCTACTGAAAAAAGAGTCAGGGACGCTAGTGAAGGATGTAATGTGGGAACCTTTAACATCACCATCAGTTGTAGTATCCTGTTCGACTTCTACTTGTTCCAGGATCTTCATTTTCCGCGCCTCCTCTATAGCACGTGACCGTGCGGCTTTTCTGGTCGCTGAGTCAGCGAATTTTTTCGGGTGTTAGAACGAAGAGGAGCCGTAGGAGCGAGAGATGACGCATCATGCTATTACTATCGAATTCGAGGAACAATAATTGTGACCCGTCGAAAGCGAAACTCAAAAGTTGTAGTACATACTCAAAATGCAAATGCATCATCATCTGGAGAAATGATCATCTTTATGAGCATGACGTGGCTTAACTATAATCCAGCGGCCTTGGCGTCATTCGTGCCAGCTCTTCCCGAGATAGCATCTCTTCTAGTGGCTCAGAAGCACTTGACTCGAGAGTCAACCTGACAGATTGATTCAGCCCATCATCGTCGTCTGCAGCAGGTTGCACTTCTAAATCGAGCTCCTCAGTCACCATGTTCTTCTCCACCAACGCCGTGACGGCAGCACTCTCGAGCTCCTCAGTCATGGCGTCGGGATCGGGGGTAGCCGCGGACATTTTGATGGAGAAGACCAAACTCGAGTGACTGGAGAAGACGGTCTGAGTGACTAAGGAAGACGGTCTGAGCGACTAAAGAAGACGGTCTGAGTGACTGGAGAAGACGGTCTGAGTGACTAACGAAGACGGTCTGAGTGACTAAAGAAGACGGTCTGAGTGACTAAAGAAGACGGTCCGAGTAGAGGCGGTTTTGTTTTGTTCCAGTGCCTGGCTCAATCTTGATGTTGCCTTGAAAAATGATGAAACATCTAGTCCGTAGCCGTACTTACTAGTTGTGAGAGAAAGTAGTCATCTTGATCTCCTAATGCTACTTTTCCAACCGACTATAGTGCTAAGTGTCGTGTTTTCCATCTTTCGTGGACGTAAACCTGCGAAAAAAATTGCCGTACAATTCCCAGATGACCGTACTCTTCTTTTTTACCTCTCTGTAATTGTGTCCGAGTCCGTGTCCTCCCTGTCCCTCTCTACAGAAATGCTCGATGGACAAACTCAGTAGATCAACAACAACTCATTCGTCATGCTGAGTCTCTAGCACAACAACAACAACAACAACAACAACTCACTCGTCATGGTGAATCTCCTAGTACAACAACAACAACTCATTCCTCAACATGCTGAATCTCTAGTACACAGGCAGCACTCAACATTCGCCAACATGCTGAATCGTTAGTACAACAACAACAACAGCAACAACTCACTCGTCATGCTGAACAACTACATCAACTCAATGTTACAATCATCATGGCTACCGAACAAGAGAAGATCCTGGTGTTCTGAAGCGTACGAGTAGATTGATCCTGGTGTTCTTAACCGCTCGCTCTTCCCTTGAGCTTTCATTATCGTACTTTTGCGTGCCTCGACCAACAAGGAGCCAAAAAAAGAAGGAGCGTGCCCCTTTTAAATTATAGCGCATCTCCACGCACGTATCCCCTAACTACTTCTACCTGTCTTCGTTAGAGAAAACGCGACGTCTTCGTCCCTTTCCTGCACGCTTTATACATTCAGACTCGTGACAACTTATTCGTTCTTTCCTTCTTACCTCTCAACTACTCAGGCTGACTACTACGCTTTTGGTGATCATCCCCATGTGTGTCAGTATGCAACATTGCTCGTTAGCAGGATCTTAGCTACAATTTCTATTCCTTTTCGCTTCGAAGCCCCGCTTAGATTTATTTACATTCATAGAGTTTTTGCCTCGTTTTCGAACAATTATTTTGACGAGCTCTCTCCTTCTTATTTCTATCAGTGTCGTTCTTGGCTATTATTGCGCAGTTTACCGATTGACTTCTTTGTTATATACTTCAGCGATGATATTGTTGAACACTTGAAAGGATGCAAATTACCGGGGTGATTATGTTATTGATGCAAGATAATTGGCAAGTAAAAAAGAGCCACTTTGGTCCTGTTTGTGTTTGGTGCATCTCAGTATTCGAGGCATGACCAACATCATGGATATCCTTAAGCAAACAAGTAGGCGACTAGATTCATGCACTTCAAGATTGTGGAAACCATTGGATTGATGTGACTACGCTGCTGACACTGTTAGGATCCTGGGAGCTTATGCACGCAACGATTGAATTCATGGAAGTGAGCAATTTGATTCATATGCGCGACATTGGCAAATTTGTACCAAGAATGCATCGAAGCAAGCACGTTAGTACTTATCTAGTTGGCCGAGTCAATGGCCGTCAGTACCCCCACAGGGCCTAGTTTACGGCCGGAGAATTTGCTCTTTGATTGTTACTCTTCACCCAACTCAGGAACGCGAAGCCGCGCTCATTACGGTAGACTCTCAGGCACGCTGAAGGAAGCCCGCGTTAATTTGTATTTCGTCATATCTTTTTTCAAGTTGTCATGGGCAAACTGAAAAGCTTCTTTTTTTTGTTGTTGCCTGGGTCTACGGATTCCCGCAAACGGTTAAGCACGACGGCAACCGCTCCCACACAGCTTTCCGGACGACCTTCAACACCGCTTCCACCCCGCTTCCACACGCTTCTCCTTTCTTCTCCGCAGCTTTCCGGGAGACCCCCTTGTCCGCCTTCAATCTTTGAGATGCGTACCGAAGTGCGTCGCCATTCTGCTGCACAGCTTTGAGGACGATTGCTCTATCATCTTGCAACGCTTCAGATGCGTATCGAAGTGCAAGGCCATCCTGCTCCACAGCTTTCGTTACAATGTCTTTATCCGCTTTCAATGATTTAGATGTCCACTGAAGTGCCCTGCCGCCCTTCTCCACAGCTTTCAAGACGAACTCTTTTTTTGCCTTCAATTCAGGAGATGCGTACTGAAGTGCGCGGCCATTCTGCTCCACAGCTTTCAGGACGATTTCTCGATCATCTTCGAATTTTCCAGAAGAGGTTTCCGCAAGTGCGTCTCCATTTTGCTCCACAGCTTTCAGGACGATTGCTCTTTCATCTTTCAATCTTTGAGATGCGTGCGCAAGTGCGCGGCCATTCTGCTCCACAGCTTTCAGGACGATTCCTCTTTCATCTTGCAACGCTTGAGATGCGTGCTCAAGTGCAAGGCCATTCTGCTCCACAGCTTTCCGGACGATTGCTCTTTCATCTTGCAACGCTTGAGATGCGTGCTCAAGTGCAAGGCTATCCTGCTCCACAGCTTTGAGGACGATTGCTCTATCATCTTGCAACGCTTGAGATGCGTACTCAAGTGCAAGGCCATCCTGCTCCACAGCTTTTGTTACAACGTCTTTATCCGCTTTCAATGATTTAGATGTCCACTGAAGTACCCTGCCGTCCTTCTCCACAGCTTTCAGGATGAAGTCTTTATCTGCCTTCAATTCAAGAGATGCGTACTTAAATGCCGAGCTCCTCCCGGCTCTCTGCACTGCGTGCATTACAACCTCCTTATCCGCTTTTAATTCTGGAGATGCATACTGAAGTGCACGGCCACAATTCTCCACAGCTTTCAGGACGATCTCTCTGTCAGCGCGCAGTTCTGCAGCTGCCTTTTGAAGAACATGGCCCCTTCGCGCCACAGCATTCAGGACAATCACTTTATCCGCTCGCAGTGCTTCAGATGCCAATTGAAGTGCATCCGCGTCGAACTTGATGGCTGTCAGAGCGGTCTCTTCATCCGCTTTCACTGTGTCAGATGCCCACCAAAATGGTGTCCAAGACTCACATCGCTGCATCGCGGTCATTACAAACTCTTTGTCGGCTTTCAATGTCTCAGATGCGTGGCTAAATGAGTCGCGCGATTTCTCCACAGCTTTCAGGACAACGTCTTTGTCATTTCTTGCATCTGCAGGCAACTGCGCAAGTTCGTCGCCAGAATTCTCCACGCGTTCCATCCACCTTTTCCACGTAGTTGCAGCCTCCGGGGACCGTACCGCGATTGTGAACCCGACCCTTAATATTTCACCCCCGCTACCCATGCCGTGAGTGCGTTGTGAGACAGAGGAAAGGACGTCCAGTTCGTTTAGCTTCTTTTTCCCATCTATCTCACCAGCGGGAAACAGAGCTCTGTTTCCGATGATAAAATGCAGTTGGGCAAGGTCTTTTATCTGGGTATCTTGTTTTTTTTTCAATTGTTGGAGGACTTCGTCGCCCAACTCCCTGACCGTATCACTGAAGAGTAGACGACCTTCCGCATGGCCCACTCTGTCCCCAATTCTGACGTTGGCACCCTCGCTGCCGCTAGGGAGAGAAAACGTACAAAGCACGGACGCGGGAGACGAGGACCGCTGCGTTTCGGAAGCTTGCTCTACCGTACCTGGATCTGCAGACATGAACCCTCTTCTTCCACCAGCGGCATCTCCATCCATGGCTGCAGCGCGACGAAGGGACAGCATGACCGTGAAGGCGCAAACAGAAAGAGGCAGAGGCACCATCTTCACGAAATGCTTCATCGTGGTAATTTTGTTCGAACAATCTTCGAAGTTGCAGATCCGAAAGAAACCCAAAAAAAACTGATAAATTGAAGTAGACCACTTCAATATATTTGCTAGTGGCTCGGTTGTAATGTAATGAAGTATATGCCCTAGAAGTTGTAGGTATAGATGTCGATGAAAACAAGTAGTAGTTGATAGCTACAAGATGGTGATTGATGTATGATGTCCGTTTAAAAAAAACTAAGGGCTGGGAAATAAAAAGATGCTCTGCAACAATTACTGGGTATAGTACCTGAGAAAAGTAGTAGTGAATAAAGAAGCGAAAAAGTTGCGCAAAGTAGGGCGCCTTTGCAATGCCTTCACTCGGGGTGCGGACTGGGTCAAAATGTAAGAAGAATATAAGTGAGGTAGAGGAGGAGCGCAGGTAAGTGTTCCTTAGTACCTAGATGGAGGGCTGTATTTCGTGTAAGTATTACTTTTTAATAGACCACCTATGCGAATCGTTAGAGTTCTAGTTCTCGGAAACGAAAGTAGGATGCTGATGATGATGATGATGATGATGATGATGATATACCCAGCAATATTTACGGGTGTCAGCTGAATTAGCTAATTATTGTTCTTGCAATTTCTTGTTAGAAGTGCAAGCACTTTTAGGTTTTTTACGAGTTGTAGGTCTTATAAGTGTGATTCAGAAGTTGCTTAGAAGTTGTTCTTTGTCAGGCTTAGACCTATATTTAGGCTTAGTAGACGAGTTGTTAGTAGACGCGTTGTTCTTGTCAGTTTTGAGAATCGAAGCGATTCGCCCTTTTTTCTCTGATGGCTGGTTTTGAAGATTCATCAATGATATGAGTTATCTGATGGAAGAAGTCCGTAGTCAGTACCAGAAAGAAGATACTAATCCTATGGCTCAACGGATGCTCGATACTTCATAGCATAGGTCGCTTGGTGAAGGACCAGTATGCAGGAACTATTTCGGATCTTCTGGTGTAGAATTATATATAATTATCTTCCATGATCATGCAGGTGTAGCTGTAGATCTGGGTTCTGGGATCTTTGTTCTTCTGGTAGATGAACTGCGAAACTGACATCTTCATAGTGAGATTGGATCTACTACGATGGCTTGGCTTTATTTGATCTTGCCATCCGTATTAGGGAACTTCTAGAACTTTGATGGATCATCTGTGATCGTATTTCTTCCATGGAGTTGTAGTGGAACCACTTAAACTTATCTAGTGGAGGATTCTGATCTCTGTACTCTTAGATGAGAAGAGGCTTATTGTGTTTTCATCGAGTACAGTTCTTCATGTTCATTATACGAAGGAAAAAGAACTTGAGACTGAGTTACTTTTTCCTATAACTCATCTGTGACAGAGTCTCTCCCCTCGTGCTCGGTCGTGTACTAGAGCCTGTCATGTACTAGAGCATTCTGTTGTCCACATGCACATGGGCGGTTGAAGGTTTCATCTTCAACAAGATCTTTTCATCCACTAAAAGATTTCTGCTCCAACTTGGATTGATCTCAGTCAGCTTCTCATGCTTCAGGTGGCAACGGCGAGTGGGGACTCTCATGCTGGGACACTCTCACGCTGGGTAAAGCTCTCATGCTGTGAGGCTCTGACGTCGCTTTGGAACTCTCACGCTGAGTAAAGCTCTCACGCATGGTACCGGGTAGAGCTCTTACGCTTGGTCGTGAAGATTCGGGTGCCCATCGCATCTATCGGGTTACGATCACAATGAATATGCTGAACCGGAAGTGGAGCTCTACTTGTTCCTCAAACAGACGGCCCTCAGCAATTCATGCACAAGAGCAGGCTTCTATGGAGAAGCGTTCATCTTCATGCGCAACATCCTTGAATGAAGAAGCGTATGCTCTTCAATTATATGAAGAAACGTTCTTCATCAACATTCAACAAAGAACATGCCTCTATGAAGAAGTGTAGGTGCTGGTTGCAATAAATTATTCTCCGCGGTATATTGTGAAAGAGTGAGTAAGTTGCTCCTCGTATGTTGCAGTGCCTCTGCCAGACGCTGACTGTGGTTGCAATTAATCTATTATTAAGCTGAGAAAATTCATCTTTTTAAGGTGTGAAGACTGTAACGCGCGCGCGCGTTATAACGCGTTACGCGCGCGCGCGTTACGCGCGAAATTCGGCGCGCGCGCGTTACAACACGCGCGCGCGTAACGCGCGCAGGGGGGGGTGCGCTCGCGGCTGAGCTCGCGGGGCCGCCTGGGCTCGCGAGGCCGGCTCAGGCTCGCGTGGGCCGGCTTGGGCTCGCCGGGGCCATGCGCCCGCGCGTTACGCGCGCGGGAGGGGGTGCGCTCGCGGCGGGGCTCACGGGGCCGGCTCGGGCGCCCCCGGCGCTCAGCCGGCTCAAGCTCGCCAGGGCGGGGCCAGCTCAGGCTCGCCAGAGCGGGGCCAGCTCAAGCTCGCCGGGGCCGTGCGCGCGCGTTACGCGCGCGGGAAGGGTACGCTCGCGGCTGAGCTCGCTCGGGCTTGCCGGGGCGAGCCGCCAGCTTCGGGCCGGCTCAGGCTCGCCGGGGCCGGCTCAAGCCCGCTGGGCTCGCCGGGGCCGGCTCGGGCTCGCCGGGGCCGGCTCGGGCTCGCCGGGGCC